CGCGTCGATACGATGGAGATGGCCAACGCCGACAACCTACAGATCTGGAGTCGCTTGCCCGGCGCAATTCTGAGCCTTCGCGGTGAAGGGCTGATCGAGGAGGTGAACCGGTCATGCACGAAGCCTTCGAACCAGATATGATAACAATATCACTGAGATTTAGATGCGTATTTACTGGCGCATAATTCCACCTTCGGAAGATATCTGCGATTGCAGAGACTGCTTGCATGTCGGGATTTCTGTGCTGGCGAGGGAATGTATGATAGCGTTTGATTTCTTTGCTGCTTGCTCTTCCCACCAGGCAGCGATTCTTCAAGCCTCTTTTCCGTGATTGTCGCATGTTATCAATCTGGCTGCGTTTGTAAAGTTTCTCTCCCGACTTTCCAGCTTTGACTCCTCTTTTAACAAGACCAGCTCTAGATGGGCGGAGAGCCGCTTGGTGAAGTCAATCGACTCCGGACATGCACCTCCATGGGGCGAGGAAACGATACACCCTTCACGGTGCAACGGGTTGACCAAGGCGAGAGGGGTGTACAAGAAAGGCATGATGGGCAGCTCGAGTAGGCAGTCGCAGCGATGATGTTTTACCGAAGGATGCAGCAGGGGAAGGTCTTATTTATATCCAATCCACCGTGCGGAGGTCCGCGCAGGAAGTGTGTGGGCTTGAGAAGCGCAGGAACCCCGCTGCCTTTTGTAGGAGCGCACAGCCCCTTGGGATCCTCTTAGTAGACCCTAAGAGCAATCGCTATATTCCTAGGAACCTGCTGGCTCCTGCGAACCATGTATCATGCTCCGTAGAGCCACCTGCTTATACACAGTGGTAGCCTGCCTACATTATATATTTCTTGGTCCTCGCACACCAAGACATCAATACCCTCGACCTGCGCTACGCGCACATAGCGACAACCCAGACTACTACTCACTGTACGGTACGAAGGATTACGTATCTCATAAACAGTACATCTCCATCCTGATTCCTGTCTCATTGCCATGCTAACCTGTGTCACAGCTCGACTTCGGTCCTTAATTGACATCTGTGTGCCCCATCAGAGTGCTTTCGCAATGGATCGAAGCGTGTGGGATCNGACCTCCCTTGCCAGAGGTCCGGTTTAGTGTCTTCCGCGTCCAAAAAGGTCCATGTACTATTGCAGTTCACATTCTCCACAGCAGATATGATCACCCGACAGACTCGAGTCCATTTATGGTCTCTCTAGCCACATGGGAGACTGCAATCCCCGAACATCATAGCGACGACGAGAAGCCATAGTAATTACTTCCAATGCTTTGAGAGATGGGACTCGGTTTCATGATGACGCGGACATAAAAGGGGTACGAATTCAATGATACCATCATATTAATGAGCTTACGGGCCGAGGGATCCTCGTCTACTGTTGAAGCGGAGAGACTCTAGCTATGCATTGCCTGCGAAATTCCACTGCCTTAGAAACCAAACTAACTCCACATGCAACATTGGGAAAGACGAAGGTGAGTAATCCATTACCGACTAGTGGCACCTGTCGCTCCGGTCTTTGACGGCTCGTGTTACAATCAACGGCCCAGACACCAGCAAACGGACTGATAGACACGTGCGATATAAGAATCAACAAGAAAGTACGCGCACAGAGTCTTATGCCGCACGCTGTATATTTGGTACCACTTGCGCCGCCGGACACCCACTCAATGCCAACCCTCACACAGCTGTCCACCGATACGGTTCTACTCTGATCCATCTTGCTTCTGCTTGCTATCATCTGCGGAGTCGACCAGTGGTTCCTTCCAATCCTCTAGGACCCCGATGATGCCTTCTTCGATCTTCTGGTGTGCTTCCTTGTAGTAGGACAGGAGGACGTCATATTCCAAGAAATGGTGCTCTGCCTGTCGTTTCTCTTCCGAGAGGCTGGCATTGGCGTTCTTGAGCTGCTGGTTTTCTTTGTCGAGGCGCTGACTGTCGGCTTTCTTGGCGACGTAGGACTCCCACAAGCGCCGGTAGAGGGCTACTAGGCGTGCCGCTTGGGCTGCCAGAATGGGGTCCTTCTCGTCCAGTCGCTCCAGCTCACGGGCCAAGGGTCTGAAAGAATCCGCGGCCGATGCCACCTTCTCATCGTTGGTGGGAGGTTCCAGCTGTGGAAGTACGATGAGTATGGCGTTCTTGGGTTCGTGCAGAGCTTGCTTCTTCACATACCTGTGTGGAATCTTGATTAGGCGGCTCCATGGGTTTTGCGCCTCTGCTCTCGTCAGCAGGACCAGATCGACTGCAGGACAATTCACGCTTGCGTTTGGGGGGACGTTCCAGGTAGGGGGCCGTTGCTTCCATAGCGCAGATGCTTATTTCTGAGGGAGGTAGTCCGAATGGATAGAGGGAGGGGTTCAGACATAACACGCGTTTCACAATGCTTATATAGGAAATACAGTGCATCTCTGCGGCAGAGAGAAGAGACTCTTATACTCCTTCTACAATACTACCCCACAACGATATGAGGACGTGGATGTTCACGGTCAACTGAGGCATTTGGCTTTTCTAAAGATACGCCGGCCAGGTAAGGAGAACGGTGGAGACCAATCCGAGTGCCATCAAAGGCCAGCAAAGGGCAAAATGCGCAGTATCGTCGGTCAATGCATATTCCCGGTTATCTAGGTGGGATTCCATGACGTTTCCCCTGGTTAAAGATCGATGAAATGTAAGAAATGCGTCTACCGCATATTCTCAACTACCTTCCAATTTTGCACTCTGTCTGACAGAGGAAAGTCCGACATTCACTGTAGTTGCTGGCCGGTACGCGACGCCGGCGATCCTTTACTGAGGACATCAATCCAGCCTAACTTATAACTATAACTATGCGAAGGTGGATGGTACGTTTTGCCTCTGTTTTTTATCGATGCAGCCCCGTTCCCACTGTACCGCTACCGTATCGCTACTACACTCTCGAGAATTCTGTCTGTCGGTATGAAACGGCCGAGGTGCTTCTGTCGTTCGCGATGGCTATCTTTACGGCTTCAAGCTGCTCTACAACAAAGCGGCTTATCTCGACCGACAATGCCCGAGGGCAACCACCAGTGTCTGCGACCGGACTCACCGCCGCGTTCACCACACCAAAGAGATAAGAACACGGAGAATGAACGCCAACGGCAGTCACACGCCCCCTCACCCGACGAGTTCAGCAAGACAAATCCGGCGGGCTGCTCTACGGGATTAGGACAGCCTGGCCTTCTCGAATGCAAGAGCGGTCCTGATGACGAGCGTTGCATTCAGTCGCAAACTACGCTTGTGCGGCCGTGAACGTTTGTATGGCGGCAGGGCGTGGGCATGAGAGGGAAGGCATCCCCTCTTTGACTACGAAAAAGTTCGGGGAATCATTAGGCTGCTACCGGTTCAGTACTACAACTCTACAGTGCCCTACGTGACTACCTTACTCTCGCGGAGGAATCGGAACGGTCATGAATCGTGAACTCCTCTACCTCGACTGTGTATACTACGCAATTTGCAATGGACCGCTATCAATGCTGCGCTATGAGCCCGGTCATGGTGCTGCCGGCGCTATTTGACGAGTAAATTCTCTAGTCGCTCCAGGTAATTGCTCGGGTTATGCTCAGAAAAATCACGCTTTCATGGCCAGTTATGTACTGCAATAAAGAACCTCTGTATTCATAACGGGTAAACAGTAACAACATGCTCCATAGCCGAAGGAGTCAAACGTCTGCTCGGTTTGCCGTCTCCGTTGAGTCTCAAGCGGGATAGGGGCCATGGTATCCTAGAGGACTACCACCGTACATTGATATCTGCAAATACCCAAGGATATTGTCAAATTTGAACCGGGCTCATGAAACCGAACAGCGTTGCTTGGCCATGATCCCCGTATGAAAGAGCTCCAAGAAGGTCGGGCTGGGTTGCAGGCGGTCTTTGGTCAATAGCAGTGGCCTTCCGGTGATCATGCGTCCAGCGCGTCGATACGATGGAGATGGCCAACGCCGACAACCTACAGATCTGGAGTCGCTTGCCCGGCGCAATTCTGAGCCTTCGCGGTGAAGGGCTGATCGAGGAGGTGAACCGGTCATGCACGAAGCCTTCGAACCAGATATGATAACAAGATCACTGAGATTTAGATGCGTATTGACTGGCGCATAATTCCACCTTCGGAAGATATCTGCGATTGCAGAGACTGCTTGCATGTCGGGATTTCTGTGCTGGCGAGGGAATGTATGATAGCGTTTGATTGCTGTGCTGCTTGCTCTTCCCACCAGGCAGCGATTCTGCAAGCCTCTTTTCCGTGATTGTCGCATGTTATCAATCTGGCTGCGTTTGTAAAGTTTCTCTCCCGACTTTCCAGCTTTGACTCCTCTTTTAACAAGACCAGCTCTAGATGGGCGGAGAGCCGCTTGGTGAAGTCAATCGACTCCGGACATGCACCTCCATGGGGCGAGGAAACGATACACCCTTCACGGTGCAACGGGTTGACCAAGGCGAGAGGGGTGTACAAGAAAGGCATGATGGGCAGCTCGAGTAGGCAGTCGCAGCGAAGATGTTTTACCGAAGGATGCAGCAGGGGAAGGTCTTATTTATATCCAATCCACCGTGCGGAGGTCCGCGCAGGAAGTGTGTGGGCTTGAGAAGCGCAGGAACCCCGCTGCCTTTTGTAGGAGCGCACAGCCCCTTGGGATCCTCTTAGTAGACCCTAAGAGCAATCGCTATATTCCTAGGAACCTGCTGGCTCCTGCGAACCATGTATCATGCTCCGTAGAGCCACCTGCTTATACACAGTGGTAGCCTGCCTACATTATATATTTCTTGGTCCTCGCACACCAAGACATCAATACCCTCGACCTGCGCTACGCGCACATAGCGACAACCCAGACTACTACTCACTGTACGGTACGAAGGATTACCTATCTCATAAACAGTACATCTCCATCCTGATTCCTGTCTCATTGCCATGCTAACCTGTGTCACAGCTCGACTTCGGTCCTTAATTGACATCTGTGTGCCCCATCAGAGTGCTTTCGCAATGGATCGAAGCGTGTGGGATCCGATCCAGGCATGCGGGATGAGCGACCCAAATTGCACGACTACTTGTTGTGGGAAGACTCAGGCCAACGAGAACTGCAAAAACCGCATCTCAAGGCAATCGCGCACCGATGCTGCCCACCTCTTGCAGCTTCTGGCGCTGCAGCAGCCAGCAGATGACCGCCTCTTCGAGTCACTGCGCAAGATTGCCAGGCTGCTGCTATGCAAACGGAACCACCAGCACAAGGAAGACGAGCAAGTGCAGCCGCTCGCAAAGCGCTGGTATGAGAGCGCTCGCGCTTCGCGTGCCATCGGTCAGCATGCGCAGGATTCTCCCACGGAGAGCCGACAGGTTGACTATCCGCTGTACCCACAACTGGACCTGGTGGATGTGAGTTCGACATCATTGACCCCCATGGAGGTTGTATCTGGCGCTGCCGAGCTTCAGTTCATCCGCGTTGAGCAGCTGCGGCAAAGGTCGGCTCCATTCGAGGTGTCGCCGTCTTCCCCCGCTCGGATCCAGTTCGGGACCGCCAATGCAGACAACACCAGCACGCCGGTGATCCTCCGCTCACTCAAGCAGGACGATAATGACGGCAGCATAGAGTGCCTGATCTGTCATGACCATGCAGCAGACGACATTGCCAATTTGCAGTGTGAGCGGTGCAGAGGGAGCGTGCACTTGGGCTGTCTGGGAGTTTGGCTCGAAGGACGGTCGACACGGGTCAACTTTAACTGTCCACAATGGTAAGACTCCCAGGTCCTCTTGTGTGGCTACCATTGCCCTTACTGACACATTACAGCCGCGGCGTCACACGGTTCGATGCTTCCTACTCCGCCGCCGAGACGATGGGCGAGGCAGAGGACGGGGTCGAAAGCGCTGGCGGTGGCCGCACCGCTCGAGGGGAGATCACCTCGGAAGGGGCTTTGGTGCCAGACCTCCGCCGCATCCGCCGGTCCGATAGGCGGACGAGGCGGCCTGACTACTATGTACCTTAATGTTTGCATTATCTGGGGGTGTACGATAGTCCGAACCCATGTAGATGGCTAGGCCACATGCATATTATCAAGTCCGCCCGGCGGTCCATTCTATTCGTTCTCCCGTCTAGATAACATAGTCTAATTGTTGGGCGCAAACTGCCCGCGAGAGCATCAGACCCAGCAGTCATTCCATGAGAATTTCCGGGGCCCTCGCCGATTCAACGCTCTTTCCCATATCCCCCAGGCTGGGACCAAGCCACGACAAATCTCCACGACTCTCCAAAGCCCGATGTAGTGGTGCCCTGCATTGTACACTTCGTAAGCAGAGAAATACTTTTAAGTCGCGTATAATACTTTATTTGTTGGGACTGTTAAGAAGGATTGCCCGCAGCCGAACCCCAGCAATCCGGGCAAACAACGGTGACCCATTACTCGCCCGGAATCAGATGGTTGACCGACACATGCCCGGTTCCCATCAGGTCACCGCAGAGCACCAGGTTCTACAGTCTAGTACTTAGGCTTGCTGTGTAGTCATGGCTTTCGCTGGGGTTCAGGGTCGTATGGATTGCCCGATTAGCGGCGAAAGCCTAGGCGGAGGAAATGGCTCGAGTTTTACTCTAATACAACATCGAAACGAATTTGATTCGCGACGACCGGAATTACCCTTCTCATCTCCGGCTTATAGTAACCACATGGCGGTGTCCCGGGATATTGCTTAGACACCACCTGCCAAGAGCATGCCCTGTTGCCTCAGAACCCTCCTCCGCGACTCAACTGCCAAAATAAACTACGCGTCAAGCGTCCCGAGCAATGATAACAACGCCGCCCAGAAAAAGACTCCCTTCACTCCATAAGTGGGACGCGAATCGTATCATCTTTGGAGGGATCGCTGTCACTACCACCACAATATATTAACACGCACGAGAGCATTCATATGATACACCGGAAGTGGTCGGCAACTTTATCGGCTCCATATAACGGGAAACTGTGGAATTATATGTCAGGCACTATCATCCCAGTATGGTCATTTGCAATGTTGGCAAGCTGGCTTGCTCGACGGCCGTGCAGGTATTGCTCCAGAGTCCTGGTGTCAAACCAAGTCTCCAGCTCAGTCTTGGTACATGCGCTTTCGGCCACAATCTGCCACTGGGAGCTGAAAGTGTACACTCTGATATCCGATAGACTCGGTCGGAACGGATTCTGGTAATGAAATCCATACCACTCGCCATATACTGCTCGCCCGATATTAGGATAAGTCAGGCTTGTTGGGCACCATATTCCCTGTCGGCTAACCAGATGAACCATTTGCTTGAGTCCGCCCCCTCCGCCTCCCGCTCTTTCTCCCTGAAAATGTTGATCCACTTCTTCCTTGGGTCCTTTCAGGATACTGTACCCGAACAATTCAATCACCTCCTGACCAAGCCACAATGCGCGGGGATTTCTAGAAATGAACAACTGTGGCGGCTTCCAGAGTCCATCATAGCGTAGACACCCCAATCGTTCCATATTTTTGTCCACGTAGTCAAGCGTGTCCCGACAAGCGAGCCTTCCCGTACCCGCCAGGAGAGTTGCAATTTGCTCATAAATACGCTCATCGTAGAATTTTGGGCGAGCGGTGGGTCGGTTGGCGTAAAGTTCGTAATTCTTCCAGAGCCAAGCGATTGGGGTTCCCATGTGCGGATGTTCGGCATTGATATCCACCGCGGGGTCGGTGATGAGGACCATGCAACCGTCCAAATCACATTTCATCAATGAGGCATAGAGGCTGGTCTCTGTGACGGGCTGAAAACGGCGCGACGCTCGTAATAGGATACAGTGGATTGACTTTCGTGCCGCCGTGCACGCGTCTCGAATATTTTTGATAATGGCCAGCATGCTGGTTGCAATAGTCAGTAGTTAACGAGAGGAGTCGTGTAATGAATAGAGAGGACAGGATACCCAAGAGACCGCGGATGAACGGGGGTGTGCTTCAGTATTTATCCGTATTCAATAAACTAGTGCCCCGTCAAAAGATAACTCCCCGATAGATTTGCTGTGTACCAGAGAGCAGCTCCTCATAAATCTTCTTTGGTTCCCAGGACCATGATTGAGGCTCCTAGGGGCCACTGACATCTGGAGTCCATGTTTACCTACTCCGTACACATAAGATAACTATCTCATCTGCCGAATAACCAACAACAGGCCTTCATGGATTCTTTGCTGGTCACGGGTCGGGGCAGAAGATGCTACGGCGACTGGTCAATGTGGGAAGCCGAGTGAAGCGAATTGACCAAGGGCAAGGGACGCAACGGAAAACCCGTGCGAGAGCAGACCGTAGGAAAGGATCAGCTCACATGTTACTATGTAAACTGACTCCGATGATCGGGTGGTCTCGTTGAGAAAACCGCCACGAATTGGATGGACGATAGAAAATTATGAGAGTTGGGGATGGGGATGGAAGGACATAACCAAACATCTTCAATTTGAAATTTCGGGTGGATCCGCCCTGGTCAAAAGGTCGGGCGGGCATGTCTCTGCTCCGGATCGTCAACAACGGTTCTCCTTCAGCGAGTTCACTTTTCCTACCAGCAGCATCCATCGCGCCAGGGCAGAAAGCCCAGCCAATTCCGAGATCCAATGGTCAAGGGAAGGAACGAGAATGACGTAGGGAAAGTAAATCGTTCTAGACAGCCGGGTAAACATGTCCGATCACTATGACCGCCACGACCCTTGGCAATGCCCGGGCAAGATGGAATGGGATCGTCAAAATTTCCATCGTTCGCCCGGTTATATGTACGTATTCCGACTACGAGTGACGGATGTTTGCGCGCGTCAGAATACCGCGGGGATGAAAATGTAGACTTTTGTTGACTTCCGGCTTCAGAAGATGATGAGTCCATCGTTTCTCTTTAGGATCCGGTCGTGGTAGGTTCTTGTCGTTTCGGCATTATCCTCTGGGTTTCCGGGGCTTCTCACCAAGTCGGGGTGAGAACGGGTTGTTTTCGTTCCAGGTTGCGGACGACTTCTAGCCCTCGCATTGTTTCGCACCGGTGCTTCTTTGGCTCAAGCGGTCCCCATCGATTGTGGTGGTCCTTCTAGTCGTTTGGTAGCTCCTCCATCCCTTCTAAGGCGATTCGGGCGACCGTTTTCGAATCCTATCATGGCAATCTACCAATTCAAGCCTGCACGGTGGAGTACGCTTTTAGTCGAGCGTGAGTAAGCGAGATATGCCCGGTCAAACATGCACATACTCATATTAGCGGACGGCAGGTAAGAAATCCGGAGAAAATACTAGAGCGCTTCTGCAACTATTGGAGCAAGAGGTGTTCCGTCTTGGAGATGCAAGGGAGGGCTCGTTTCAGGAAGCAGCACACGGCAGAGCCGCATTATGGGAAGGGCATTGCCGTCTCTTGAATCGATTCAAATACCTTGAGGAGCAATTGGGCCTGGAAGAACGACGATTGAGCGTCAAGCGATCCGAGCTGCGGGCAGCCCAATTCTGAGCCTGCGAAGATAGAAATAATCGGCAATGCCATGAGTGTCGCTTGGTGGGAGATGTCGATCTTGCGCCGTGCTTCCAACTCGTATGTCGGGGATGTTCCCAACGGCATATGCGTTGCACATCGCCCTATATCCACACTCCTACCGTCAGGGAGCGGACATTCAGCACACGTGCAAGCTCCCTGCTCCACGAGATCTCCCGTGAGGTGCGCATGCTTCAAGAAGGCTCCTGGTTCACCACGTCAATCTGGGGCAAGGAATATTTGGTCCAAAATAGGCACCGTTTGAAAGAGAACTGCGAATGGCTTGAACAACAACTAACGAATACTCGGCGGGAGTATGAGAAAGTTATCTCCGTGCTCAACTAGGCTCATTCCAAGGCAACCCTAGACCGGCGAAGCAGACCATGCGAAGGGTGCTTGTCAGTAGTTCGCGAGGTTTATCTTGCACCATGCTTCCATCTCGTGTGTCGGGCATGTTATCCGGATCCCGGGGAGGAGCTTTGCAAAACGTGCCGTGCAAAGCACCAAGGCATTTCTGCCATGCGCCCTCGCGGACTTCCACGTCTGGCCATCTGAATGCGCCTAGATTTGCCATGGAAATGTACCAAGACGAATGTTACGTCTACTTTGCTTGTGTGAATCCGACATGGAAAGGTGACTGTAATAATGGAGTGTACAGTCTGTTCCTCCAAACGGAATCTCTTAGAATGGGCTCTTAATCTCTAAACCAAGATAGCTCGTAGACTCGGGGTTTCCCGTTCTGCCACACGCTTTGCTGATGTTCTGGGAAACGACGCTGATGAAACGTCTACGACAGTGGCAGCAGGCACCGAGTAATCTGACATACTTCCCAGATTCTGTTAAGCCTGCTTTAACTGAGCGTGTCGCGGTTTTATTCCGCATTGCTAATAGACATCTTATGATGCCGTCGGCCTCTGTAACTCCAGCTCTCTTATTCACTTCAATCTTGTCATTTACTACTTCCCGTTCTTCTACATTCTCTATCGCTCAGCCTGGTGCTTGAAGCCCCCACACTCCTTTCTCTTTATTATACCTCACTCCTTCAATGCCGACCTTTGAAATGCCTTCTATCACTCATTACCTCACCGCCACCTTTGCAGGTGTTGCCGCCGTCTCCGCAACCGGCGTCATCCTCCCTCTCTACACCTGGCCCAGCGACGGCGCCTGGGACCTTGTCTATGATGCGCTGGCCGCATATCCCGAGGTCGATTTTTACGTTATCGTTAACCAAAATTCGGGTCCTGGTGACGCGTGTAAGACCTTCTACCTCCTCATTAACCTTCATACCATGTTTCCCCTTTGCTAAGATGTCTTGTACCGCAGCCTCTCCCGCATCCGAATACATCACCGGCCTCTCAACCCTAAACAGCTACGCCAACGCACATACCATCGGCCGGGTCTAGCCCGCTTCGGCATCGTGCTCCTGATCGTAGAGGATATCGGGATTACGCGGGTCTTCTCGTTCATCCAGACCCTGGTCCTCGCGAGTGAACAACACCGCGCTATGATCCGAAAGCTCATCGTTGTCTGGCAAATGGAGGACCCAGGTACCGCGCGTCGCAGCAACCCCTCGTGTCTCCCGTAGAACGGTGAGCAGAGCTAACTCGGTCTAGACAATCGTCGGTGGGTGAACATGCAGCATTTGCTGGACCTCGATCGCCAGGAATTCAAGGTACCACGACCGCCGAACGGACCGCGATCCATATGCTGACCGTCATAGATCCTCCGATTCGTCCTTTACTACCGTCGAAACCGCAAGAATGAGCCCTCGCGGAACCCCGGCACGAGGGTTCGATTCATGGAAGGGTCTATAGATGTGGCACAGACGATAAGGACGTACCTGAATACGCGTCGGGGGAGTATGTTGGTAGGCGGTATGGACCCTCTTCGAGGTTTGGAAAAGGCTGATGCGTCCGATGAAGCCATGCTAACGTATCACTGTCTCCAGTTTGTGCTCGACAGTCGATCCGCAACCAGGTCAAGGCGATCGTTCAGCCCAACTTGAGCGATGACCTCCGGCTCCTGGATCTTGACGTTGAGCCGTGTCATCAGTGGTGGAACACTGACACAATGGTGGCCGACACTACGGAACAATCCAGAAACCACGTCCAATGGATCGCCTCCAGAATAGCGGAAGGGCGTGGTCATTCCCGATGACCGATCTACCAATGGCCCCTTGTTTGACGAGCACCCGGGCCAGTTCGATTCCTTTCCCCGATTTCCCTTACATGTCCTGATCCTACGGACGTTCTCATGCCAACATAATCGACGTCGATTGCTCGCGCGACAACGGTCACTTCGGCTCCAACGCATGCCCCCAGCCCGGTAATTCCGCAGTCGAACGGTCCATAGTACCAGTACCACCGTCCACAGTACTCCGCTCCTTCAACATCTTCGTGTTTGCGCAGCCCGTCCGACGGCGAAAACAGACTCCTATCGCAGGATACGCTGCTGGATCGCGGAAGGGTCGGCAATGGTAGGTCCGCGAACGCGTGCCACTGCAACGCTGGCATCGTAACCGGCCAGACGGTGCAGCCGATAAGACCCGTGCATTAGCGTCTCCGCGGGACTGAGATTGGGCCAAGCCGACCCTGGAATCAGGGACCTTCATGTTGCGATTGCGGTGCCAAGGTGGATGCAACCAACGGTCCAGACTGTCGACTAGGGGTCATTTTATGTGGGACAGTCGGCCGAATCTGACCTGACGATCAACAGATTCGGCATGACGATCAAGATAGCGGTCATCCTCGTTCGGGCAAACGCTTCGCGCGGACACCTACCCCGTGTCACAACCCGTTGTGCCGGCGTATGGCACGCAGCACCCGAGTACCAGAGTTCAGGGCATTTCCAATGATCTCCAGCGGATGTCGAGATGGCTGCCACAACTTCTGCAATCATGCGCCGGAAATCGTGTCGGATATCGATATTTCTCATCCAGTTCTAGGACAAAAGTTTACGTACACTATGACACCCAACCAAAATATATAATCACGCCTCCGACAGTAATTTGGTCAGCACACATCCAAATTAGGGAATAAAATTATTTTAAAAATATATTCTTAATCGCCAGATCTCCATGAATCGATTAATGTTAGTTTTAGCGATCAATATTTAGTATACCAGCCACGAGCAGCGATACAAGCCTTTACGCGCCGTGGCATCGATTCAATCAACCCGTCAAAGTATTCCTGCGATATCTTCGCCCACGCTGTATCAATTGTATCAAGATAGCGCTTATATAACTCGCCTTGATCTCCTGTATACATCGCTAGGGCCAGATCAATGTCAGAGATCGTTTCTTTTAGTCGATTCCACGCGTGCTCAATGGGGTTCAAATCAGGTGAGATAGCTGGCCACTCTAGTAGAGGAATTGCTTCGCTATTCAACCATTTCTTGACCACTGTTGCTGTATGTATAGAGGCATTATCTTGCATGAATAATAAGCCTGGTTCCCAAATTGTAGGTAGTTGCTCCTGTAGCATCTTGAGATATGAGAAGCGCGAGTAGCCCTGGCGCTTTGAATTCTCGTCCGCTTCCATTATCACGATATCTGACCGGTTTCCCCCCCAAATCGATGCCCAGACCATTATTTTGAAGCCTTTGGACTTGTTATATGTCTGTATATATTCCTTTTTCCATTTCTCGCCGTGGTGGTTGAGCCTGAAGCACCAAAGATGTCGCTCTCCGCGCCCAATTTCAACGCTGCATTCATCGCTGAAGATAATAACGCGCCATTGCTCAACGGTCCAATTTTCTCGCTCTAAACTCCATTCAAGACGTGCTGTAGCATGCCTCTCAAGCAGCTTAGGCCTCCTTTTAGCTCTCCAATGACCATATCCTGATTCCTTGATCGTTCGGAGGAGGGTACGGTCAGAAACAGGCACGGGGATTTAATCGCGAATTTCTCGATAACAAACAAATGGATTTTGACGAACGATGCGTATAATTAAAGTCATGGTTCTAGCGTTTAATTTCCTGGGTCTGCCATCTCGAGATCTTGTTTCGCCGTTGGTTCGTCGCGTGGTTTGTTCGAGCGTGTATTGGATCGTTGAGGGTGGAATCTGCAACTTCTCCGCAATCAGGCGAATTGAGTCACCATTTAAATTCAGCGCCCCAATTGCACCTCTTGTATAAGGACTTAACTCATTTTTATGCTGCCTATTCGCATCAATATCGGCCAGAGGCCTGCACGGCGTCGACATTGAATTTTTGAAGTTGGTGAGTTGTTGGTGGTGACGCGCAGCGCGCTAAGAGTGTACGGAAACTTTTGTCAAGGGGCTGTAAAGCCTGCGAAGCACGGGGTTACCAGAGGTGAACCCCGCCCCAGCCGATCGCCAGCCTTACGGTTGGCCGTCTCTCGTGTAGCTGCGGTCGATTCAGAGCGTCACTCACTGATCCAGGAAGCAATTACAGCTGGGGGTGGTGGAAAACAGCTAACCAGGGCAATATTGGATGGTGTTTGAAGTTGGAGGAGCTCTGGTCAGACGCGGTCCACCGCCACTAGGCGCCTTCCTGGCCGTCCGGCGGTCTGAGTCCTTGGAACAGTATCCTTCGCTCACCGGCTTTGCTCTGCCTCGTTTGAGGACACGCATCAGTTGAATCTGCGGACGAGGCGCGCGAAGGGACGGGGGTCGGGGGAAATAGAAGGGAATATTCACATGATAGAAGATCTCATCTTGAGGGTTCCGAACGTTGAACGAAAATGTGCAATGGCATGCCGGGTCAGTGACGCGCAGGATTGCTCGTTGGAATCCGTCGGGGTAGAAGTGAATGTTTGTGGGGGACGCGCGAGCCAGTCAGTCATATGGAAGGCCATCTTACATAATAATCATCTTGCTTGGCAGGGACACAATCCATATAACTGATCAGGTGAGACGACGGACAGTAACAGCCATGGCAGGATGTATGCAACCGCCTGTCGGTTAGCTCCCTGCGCTGTTGACCCGTGCATATGGAACTCCACGGATAAGTCGTGGCGTGCAGAATTGTGGACTCCAGATAGCTTGAACGAATACGTCGCTGATGGGAGATTGAGTCCGACCAGCCTTGTTCAGCCTATCGCCCGCGAGACTTTACATTCGGAGCACAGGGTGCGCATTCAGATGACGATTATTTCCGTCCTTCATCTTCCCCTGCTAAGAACTACGAAATTTACCCACCTGCATTGCGCGGTTGGCCGGCCAAGCGAAGTCTTGTTTCCTCGATATTCCCCGAAGACAAACGCAACGCTGTTGACCTGACGGGGTACATTAGTGGAGCTCGGGGCAATCGCTAGGGAGTGTAGACTTTCGTCTAAATGTTGCAAGGATTACGAAAATGTGTACTGGGAATGCGGCATAGCCTCTCGAGCTCTATCTAAGAGTACGAAGTGCTTCAACCTCGAGGTGCTCGCCTAGGTGTTTGATGAGCCTGGTCCGTCCATGTAAATCCTTCCACAGAAACGACATGGTTCCTCTCGTGGACTCTTTGTCGTTTTGTGGCTGCAGCTTTCCACAAGTTCCGTAACCTCGTTAACCTGCCGCGTCGGGTCATGCTTCTTGGGCGAGATGCTGCACAAAATTATCCTTTCGATAGGCCTTGTAGGCGCAATCTGGGCATTCCCACTACTTAAGATGTCGGTGCCGCTCATTCTCATGTCGAATCCAGTCAGCTTTCCGTTTAAAGGGTCCAGGAATAGCACAGTCAGGAAAGGTGCATATAAACGGCTGTATATCGTCGAAAAGATGCTTGGTCAAGTCTGATGGAGTCTGTATTCTCTTCGCATTAAAGCATAGAGAGCATTCAAACTCTACTGGAAACATACTGACGGAGAGTAACGGGTGGAGCGTACCACCAAGATGTTTCTCAGTGGCCGGTTGTCCTTCGACCCGCGGATGACCTGTTTTGTAGTGTGATTCAACATCAACGTGACCATGCCGAGCACAACAGTATCTGCCAGACTTGCATTTCCCTTGTAGGATGACGTTGGCATGCGCCTGTTTTATTCCATCCAATCGTTTGGATCGTCGAGCTTGTTTGTGTGCAAGACGATCCCTTAGGACAGGATTAAGAGCTATTGGGTAGCGTGGTTCCGAGCCCAGTTGAGAGCTTGCATATACCGTGGGTCGAGTCCATACCCATCCTCCGCAAAATGCGTTCGTGCTATGTCCGGCGTGGGTTCATGAAGAAAATCTGTCGAAGTTTTTGATCTCCCGATTGAAGAGGTTCTGCCGGAGGAAAATAGTTCTATATCTACCTCGGCAATTTGTTTGTCCTCTTGCTTCTGGAAGAGTCTATCCCATTATTGATCGAAGGACTCCTGCGTTGGGTCGGGCTTCGGTTCGTTGAAATAGTTGTCCCAATACGCATTGTTTGCCTGCTCTTCCTCTAGTGTGAGCTTGAGTGGTCCTGGAGAGAAGACTGGCGAGGTTGCTGCGAAACCAGGAGAGTTTCCCCTGCTTCCGACCAGGGAGCGCGCGACTAATATCATCCCAAGACTTTCCTTGACCTTTGAGTTTAGCGGCCAAAGTAGCCTCGCCCAGAGACCAGGTTGTGCCAGTCGCTAGAGGCTTGATCTGGACCCAGGTCTTATCGGACTCCTCGCTCGAACGAGGAGGAGATATTGGTGGAGTGTTGAGCGGCGAAGCAATATCCATAGTAAGAGGTCAAGAATGTTCCGTGAGATGCCTGAAAGCAATTGTTTGCTCTGGGTCAAAATAACAAGGAGCTGTGACAGAAACGAAGTGGAATGAGGGAGGGGAGGGGACGTGTGAACTTTAAAAAAAATAGGTAGTAAGAGAATCTCTTCGCCAAGACTTTGATCGGCCTGAAGCGGTGGATATGAGGCTGGCTGCGGTCAGCGTGGTGCGGTTTGGGTGTATCATAGGGGACAGAGCAGAGTTTACGCTTTCTATAGATATGTCATCGGCACTGTCGCTGATGCCGTTCTCGGTTGAGTAGTCACTGAATGAACGTCGTGACAATGTCTCTGTATCGGACACCACAAAGTCGCGGTCGCTGCTGGTTTCGGACGGGTTGTCGCTGCTTTCTGATGTGGAGGGAAATCGGTCGTGCTTTCCGTCTCGGGCTCGCTCCCCGTGAATGGTGAGCGTCGGAGGTAACTAATGGACGACATATCAATGATGTATAACGCAGGACGCTGTGACTGAGGCAGACAAGACCTGGTTGGTCAGGCTGAACAATGGCAAAATCTCTGCTGGGGAAGCCTTCATTTGGGGAGAACAAGTAGGTACATATAGGACCTAGTACGGCTCTGGCGTCTTGGACGGAATTGAACATCTAAATCTACTCGCAATGACCAACTTTTCTATGCGCATAAGAGCATCAGCCAGGGAAGTAATGGGAAAGGAATCCATGATAACCAGGAAGACGATCGGACGCCCTCTACAACAGCCCACTAAAAAAGGTTTATCTCAGCCCCCTGTTATCGGCGCCCAGCCACGGAGAATGGCCATTTCTCATCCCCTTGGCCAGGCTTGCTCCACAGCCGCTCTCCTGGCTCCGGGCGAATCCCTTGTTGTTGCAGGATTCTCGGCCATGGTGACATCCCCTGCAGGGGTCGGAGACTTAGTCCCACCCGATCGATCTCCTTCGGTGCCTTCAAGCTGGTTGAGCACACGGTCGAGCATGGTCTCAAAGGATTGGGATTCCCCTGTGGGGGCCGTCCCCCGCTCCTTTAATAGATAGTCAATCACCGTTCCCATCCGCTGATTGGTGTCGTAGAGAAGACCGGCCAAGTCGACCGTCTCTTCCAAGTCCGAGGTGGTTTGCTGCAACGCCTCTTGGAGGTTTCGATGCTCTTTGGTGTGCTTCTGTTGCTCCCGGTGTGCGCGCAGAGCCCGCACGCTGAGCTCGCAGATCACACGGAGGGCGTCCTAGTCACAGTGAGCGAGTCACCTGCTGAATGAGGCAAATACCTACGGCAGTATCCATTTTGCGAGTAATCACAGCACAGCCGCAGCAGATAGGGGTGTCGGAAGCAGGATGGAAGAGAGAGTCGGGAGCGACGCATTGGTATTTATTAGCAATCCCACGTCGGAGACGAGAAACCTGTATCGTAACCCTCGTTGCCGGTGCAATGTCTTGCAGTTGGAATTGAGATGGCCGTCCAAAATCAAGGGGAAACCCTGTCTCGGCTCTCACGTACGTTAGAAGCCAATTGTGTTGAATTCAGGATTTAGTCCGCGATTTAACCATGGCCGCATAAATATCGCCTCCACTTTGCCCTACAGCATGGTTCTGTATTTGAGGGCAACGCCGTGGAAGGTATGATCCGTGCTACTGCGCAGCCTTCTTCGGGTCAAATCCACGTTTGGGAGTGCAAGCAGCAAATAACGATCCCCTCCTAACGTTTCTTCGGATCGCTCCCAGGACATACGAGATGAACGAGATTGTCGAGATTGTCCGTCGGATTGGCCGCCGGCAAGGCCAAATGCATACTACCGTACATGCTACACTCCTGAAAAAAAGTCAAGATCTCATCCTCCAGACGTCGAACGAGCTGCTGGATCTCTACCACTCCAATGCATTCAAGAAACCAGAATCCGTCTCTACGATTGCAGATAACCTGCGCAACGACATACATGCCTTGCTCGGCCGAGAGCGCCGCGCACGGTCACACTGGGACGAGTTTTACGAGTCGGACAAGTGACGTCTGTGAGACGAACTTCTCCTTCTCGGGAGGAATGTCTGTGCGTATTGCAATACATGGATGCCTGGCAGCTCAGGACACTCTTTATCAAGTTCGCCCATTGTGATAGATCTCAATACTAAGAAGCTTTATAGATATCACATCCTTGATCCTCGAGATGGTATTAAAATGGGGAGCTGCTTCAGGAGTGCATACTTATCTCCGGTGGACTATAACATGACCGCTCTATAGACAAAGGAAACGTAGTCAGTTAAGCTGAGCACACGCTCTATTGGGCCGCCATTACAGCCGCTAACCTACATTACCCCGACTAAAAGTACATCAACCACGTTACAGTAAGCCTATGTAGTCTGATGGAAGTAAATACCATGCTCACTTTGCCTAGCTTGAATTGGCCTTAACTGACTTGTCTCTGACGGCCAGCTAGACTATAGACTATGTGCCACACGAGGTTTGTGCGGGTTGGTCTCTGGGTGAGCTGGAATTGGGTGGGTTTCTCTGGGACAACATTGGTGGTCAGCATCACGTCCGGCATGTGCATTCTTCGTGGTCTCACTTGTGTTCTGTGGTGAAAGATCGATCCTATTGTGGACACCCGGCTTTTTCGCACCTTTAGACTTGTCTGGGAGCCTTGATGCTGCGTTTGCGTTGACCGGTAATCTGTTCCGGCACACCAGGCGGTTCTCTGCAGAAGGGAGTTCGTCCATGCCGGCGTAAATCTGCCGAGTAGTGATATAGCGAGGACAGTGAGCGGACCGAGATGGAACAACGGCCGCTTGCTGTCGTCCCCCAGTGGCCTTTGCCAGCATGCCTCGGCGTCTCTGCAGGTGCCTCATCTGAAGTTTGCCCCGCTGTCTGATATGCTCCTTGACTTGTCGGAGCTTGGATTGAAGAGACTCCGACGACCGTGGGCAGATCGTGCTAGAATATTCGTCCGCTTTTTCGGACCATGTCAGATGGGGCCGCTGAGCAACCCATATTTCGAGGTTCTCTTCCTCTTGATTTCTCCAGGGACGATAGTCTCGTCTTCCCATGGTGAAAGAAAACCACGGGCCCGGTCGAAAAAAAGGTGGCTGCACAAAAAGAAAAAAGAATAGAGGCGAAAAGAAGCGAGAAGGGTAGACAACCACGGTGATAGAAAATGACGGCACAAGCAAGGTGAAATGGACGGGGGAAGATGCCGCTTATTCCAGATAGGGTTTGGTGGTTACTGGTGGGGACTAAATACCGGCCCTGAGGGTTGTGCCTGCAGGTGGCAGTTGGAGGCTGTTGCCCCTGTCTAAGGGCATTCGCGTGGTTATTATGCGTCGCAAACCTGGACCGTGATGCCGCCCAACATCTCCACATGAGGGTCAATGGTCGTCCCGCCCTACATCGGCGCATCAATCATGGGCAATGGACCACGGGCCAACACCTGCTTGGGGATCCGCCAGTGGGCCACCGCAAATGCCCGGACGGGCCTGGTCTTGCTCTGATAAACCTTCCCTTTATTATCTGGTAGGATTACATAGAAACGTCGATGCAAGGGACGGGTAATGTGGTATCTCAGGGGCAATTTTGAGGCCTATTGGGCTTTACGATCTGCCGTCACTTAACCGCGGCCGTCGTTTCTCACCAATTCCCCGCTAAGCCGTCGTTCTTATAGCGGTTCCTCCACCAGGTTAATGGAGCACGAAATATACTCCCTTTCACTTTTCGAACTGTGGCCGCTGATGCTGAGACAACATGGCGAAAGTACCATCTCGAACGAGTATGAGTTCCCTTGCCGCAAGCTCTGGCCCTCGAACTTCCAACAACCGGGTGCGCATCCAGGAACCCCCCGCAGCTGTTGCTACGCAGCTCACCCGTCCCCGACGACGTCAGTCGATGGTGAGTATTCCATCCGGCCATAAGGCAGCGTCCCTGAGGCTATACAGCAGTGCTGACCAACCTGGTCCTTGGTGGCAGACGCAAACCCCGCCCCAACCCCTCTCCCATTCACAGGCCGCGGACGATTCCACCGAAACTCTGGAGAACCACAGCGTCTGCCTTAAAACTGTGAAAGATCTTGAACGCGACCTACACAGGGTGGAAGCGGAAAGAGATAGGCTGCTGCAGGAGAACGAAACTTTGAAGCAGCAGCTCTCGCAGGCGCAGGATGCCCAGTCCGTCGGCCACACATGGGAGGACATACAGCGGGCTGTCCACGGAGCCCAAGAGGCCCTCAACACCTGCCACCAGCAACTCATCAGCTGTATGACCCATGCGGCCAATACGGGCGTACCGTCTGCCACCCGATCGGGATCGACAGCAGGACCGGATTCCATGTGGGCGAGCCAAGACGAGGGGCTTGGGTTATTGAATCCTCAGATGTTTTTTGATGTTTAACGTTCAAGCAATGCAAATCCAGACCATAGGTCGGAAATCGTCACCNCGAGCGGACCGAGATGGAACAACGGCCGCTTGCTGTCGTCCCCCAGTGGCCTTTGCCAGCATGCCTCGGCGTCTCTGCAGGTGCCTCATCTGAAGTTTGCCCCGCTGTCTGATATGCTTCTTGACTTGTCGGAGCTTGGATTGAAGAGACTCCGACGACCGTGGGCAGATCGTGCTAGAATATTCGTCCGCTTTTTCGGACCATGTCAGGTGGGACCGCTGAGCAACCCATACTTCGAGGTTCTGCTCCTCTTTATTGCTCCAGGGACGATAGTCTCGTTTTCCCATGGTGAAAGACAACCGCAGGCCTGGCCCGGTTGAAAAAACGGTGGCGGCACAAAAAGAAAACAAAGAAAACAAAAAAGAAAAGCAAAAAAGAAAAATAAAAAAGAAAAATAAAAAAGAAAAATAAAAAAGAAAAATAAAAAAGAAAAATAAAAAAGAAAAGAAAAGAGAAGTGTGGACAACCACGGTGATAGAAAATAACAGAGTACAACCAGGGTGAAGTGGACGGGGGAAAGATGCCGCTTATTCTAGATGGGGACTGGTGGGACTAAATACCAGCCCTGAGGGTTGTGCCTGCAGGTGGCAGTGGGAGGCTGCTTCCCCGGTCCAAGGGCGTTCGCGTGGGTATTGTGCGTCGCAAATCTGGGCCTTGATGACGCCCAACATCTCTACCTGGGTCAATGGTCGTCCCGCCCCACATCGGCGCAGTCAATCATGGACCACGGGCCAACACCTGCTTGGGGATCCACTGGTGGGCCACCGTAAATGCCCGAGGATATGACGGGCCTAGTCTTGCTCTGATAAACCTTCCCTTTATTATCTGGTAGGGTTACATAGAAAAGTCGATGCAAGGGACGGGTGATGTGGGTATCTCAGGGGCAATTTTGAGGCCTATTGGGCTTTACGATCTGCCGTCACTTATGTAACCGCGGCCGTAGTTTCTCACCAATTCCCCGCTAAGCCGTCGTTCTTATAGCGGTTCCTCCACCAGGTCAATGGAGCACGAAATATTCTCCCTTCCACTTTTCGAACTGTGGCCGCTGACGCTGAGACAACATGGCGAAAGTACCATCTCGAACGAGTATGAGTTCCCTTGCCGCAAGCTCTGGCCCTCGAACTTCCAACAACCGGGTGCACATCCAGGAACCCCCCGCAGCTGTTGCTACGCAGCTCACCCGTCCGCAACGACGTCAGTCGATGGTGAGTATTCCATCCGGTCGTAAGGCAGCGTTCCTGAGGCTATACAGCAGTGCTGACCAACCTGCTTCTTGGTGACAGACGCAAACCCCGCCCCAACCCATCTCCCATTCACAGGCCGCGGACGATTCCACCGACACTCTGGAGAACCACAGCGTCTGCCTTAAGACCGTGAAAGATCTTGAATGCTACCTACACAAGGTGGAAGCGGAAAGAGATAGGCTGCTGCAGGAGAACGGAACTTTGAGGCAGCAACTCTCGCAGGCGCAGGATGCCCAGTCCGCCGGCCGCACATGGGAGGACGTACAGCGGGCCGTCCACGGAGCCCAAGAGGCCCTCAACACCTGCCACCAGCAACTCATCAGCTGTATGACCAATGCGGCGAATCCGGGCGTACCGTCCACCACCCTGCCGGGATCGACTGCCGGACCGGATTCCATGTGGGCGAGCCAAGACGAGGGGCTTGGGGTATTGAATCCTCAGATGTTTTTTGATGTTTAACGTTCAAGCAATGCAAATCCAGACCATAGGTCGGAAATCGTCATCGGTGCACACTCATGTAATCAATATGGCTCTGGTTATCTCGTAGTTTGAGTCAATCCGGGAATGACCGGACACGTTCGGTGGAATATCTGTGGAGCTGCAAGTTGGCGAGCATCCGCCCCTGCGGCCCGATGCCGTCCCAGCTGGGGTTCCAAGATTTTAGGGCCCGTTATCTGTGACGTCAGGGCGGCTCGTCCATTCTCCACACTTTGCCTTGTCTACTGCAAATCACACAGATGGGCCTAGAGACTGATTAGTGAACAAAAAGAAAGAAAAAAAAAGTCGCTTGACATGCGCTCTAGAACGGCTCCAACTTTTCTTGGTCACAGACTAGTCATCCCAGCCTGATGTGAAGCAGGAATGGCTGTAAAAAGTCCCGCCAGAGAGTCAGGAAGCGCCGCCTGCCTGATAATTAGAGCGAAAGTACCAAGACAACTAGCATACGATTGGACCAAGAATCTGTATGTTTATCCCTTCGTGGCCGGTGCTCTCCGAGATATAGCCCTTCGCTCCCCATAAAGCTCGGGCATAGGCCTCAGTGTGAAGCGTTGGAAACCTACTCGAATACTACGCCAGTACAATCTTCCGTCTCTGGTTCTGTCGGCCACGATCCAATGGTCATGGTTGCTGCCAGCACTTTAAACCCAGGGGAATCGACACGCCCTGTCTCGCGGTGGGACGCGCTTCGTCTGGAGCTGATCAAGGCAAAGCACACTTCGCAGACATCTCCCAACACGCAAAGCCGAGAGTCGCACACTACCCCCGGCCATGTGGACCGGCAGCGCGAGGATACAGGAGCAAGCGATCTCCTCGACATCGAAGGCACCGAGAGCGACGACGGCGAGTGGGAAGCAGACATTGACCCTCAGAATATACCAGCCTTGGCTTCGGCGCTGTGGGAGTACGTTCCATGTCCCTGTCGATGTCTGGTGATATTGCATAATGCATCTACTGNTCCGCCATTCCCAGTAGAGCCACCCGAGCGCGGCAGTGGATGCCACAAACAGAATACAGGCAATCGCGAGAAGCGGGGGGTTTTGGACCGTGTTCAGGACGGCCTGTCCCACGTCGTCCTTTGCCAGCGCGTCCTGGACTTGGCCAGATTTCTGCAGCGCCGTGAAGGTGCCCGGGACTATCAGATACCCCGCGAGCAAGGTCCAATGGGCAATGCTAGCAATGACATTGTACATCCAGGGCATGGAATCTACCTCCAACAGCATCTGCATATACCGGGTTTGTCCTGCAAAGGGGACTGGGTGCTGAGTCTGCGATGCCATCTGGCTTGCGCTCGAACACCAGACAAGGCTCTGATAACGTGCCGCTGCGTGTCTGAGGTGGTAGTTTCTGAACCGGTAAAAAGGCGAATGGATGGCCAAAACTCTCGCAACGGCTCTGCAACAAGGAGCTGCAAAGACAGTGGTGACCTTACCGGCATTGGCGAATTGAAGCCCGCCCATATACAGGGGTCGAGTCTGCCCGGTGTCTACTATATGGACATTGCCCGGGTACGTCGCAGCTTCTGAGGGCCAGTATCGGCTTGCGCTGGACGCTCACTTGGCCTCATTTTTCTGTCCGGATTGCACAGCGACGCCCTCAATTAACTTGCCTGCGTTCAAATGTGCGAGATCCCTGGTAAGCAGACGATCTTTACTGTCGGGCTGGTATTACCCCAGAAACACAATGTCTATGTATGCATATAATCTAAAGCGCTGTGCACTTGTCTTGAAGCCGCGGTGATTCTGCTGTGTGTGCCTATGATGTCTTCTCGAAATCGCGTGCAGCAGGAACAGATCCGCAAGCGGCGCAATAACCTCCTTCGTCGCCACAATGATTTCTGGCGGCTGTACGCGATTCGCAGCTGGACTACGCTGGAGATGCCAAACGGCCGGATCTACACGTATCGATCCCATCCTCATCTCCCTGCTCCTACTGACCGTGAAATGGTGAGTTCTCAGCGACGCAGAAAGAACTTGATGCTGACAGATTCAGCGGGAACGACCCCATCCAGTCGTGCACAGAACACCAGCGGACTATGGTCCTCCGTGTCCGACCGACATGGTGTTGCCGGCAGTGCCCTCTCTCAAGGTGCTTGGACGCCGAAGTCAACTATGGGATTTGCTATCAAAACAGCTGAGCAGACTGCCTGGACGAGCGCTGAGTTGATGCTCGTCTCTCGCGAGTTCGCCCCACACCGTTTGCCTTTGACGCTAAACTTGTCTACTCTGTGCACGGCCTAGCGATAAAATTAGTGTGTGGCAGTATAATAATGGGGGTTTCTTTCTGGCGGGCTTTCGCTGTGGGGCAACGAACGGTAGGATATAGACCAATATACGTTACAGAGTTGATTAGCGCCCGCCATAATAAGAGGATATTCCCACTGTTTGTCATGCCATCTACTGTGCAATGTGGAAACGATGTTAATCCCAGGTGAAAGGTAGTTAAAAATCAGTCGTCTCGCAACCGCTGCCCATATAAGTGAAAACCCATCTTCTCGTGCTAAGAAAGTGTCCATCATTGTTTGATATCTTAGTCCATTCTTCAGTCTGACAATGGAGCCGGTCGCTGATCGCCAATACCACACTCAGCAAATTGCAAGCGATGAGAGTCCCGAAACACCGCAATCAGATGTGCGAATGAGCTTAGCACTACCCGAGGAATTGCTGCCCTCGGAAATGGTGCTTGCCGACTTGGAACAAGACTCCAATAATTCGATGTTTCAAAACACAATCCAAGCCTCAGGGAGGAGGATATCGCCATTACACGGAGTCACAAGCGGGAGAGATATTGCGCTCTACCGTGATAGGGAGCGTTCTGCTGCTAGCCCAGGCTTTGAAGACCCATTCGACGGAGAAGACCTGATGCTACATATGACCAAAATTGCACTGGAACTACTGCGAGGGCTCTCAACCAGGAATGCGGAAGGCCATGTGAAAGCGACCATCGGCCGGCAGAGGCGTTCCCATCGTTTCGCCCAAAAAGCCCGTAGGGCCACGAGATGGATATACCGTTCTGTGCAGCAGATTCAAAAACCCGGACAGAGCCTGGATGATCAAGCCGAGCTCTCCCCTGCGATGGCAGGTGGTGCTGGGCCGGTATGGGCTCGAGCACCAAGATATCCCCTTTGCATTCGAATACCCTCGACCCTTGCTCTGGTGATGCGATTCCTACCAGAGGGTGTTAAACGGTCAATCAATCTCCGCGACCGCGCGGATGTGGCGAGAGTCTTCATGGCCCTGGTGGATCACTGGTTATCTGAGGCTGGCGGGGAAGGAGCTTTGACCAGCCGGGAAACTACGAGGCAGCTTGCAAGCGCTGAGAAGTCTGCCAAGATAGTTGAGGCAGAATAGATCATGGGCGAAGATGACCGGATTCTTGGCGGTGAAAGCTTGGCCTTTGGAATGCCCGTCTTGTCAGTCTTGTCAGTCCGTTCCAGTGAGAATCCCGACACCAAACAGGCATTAGTTAGTTCCCTGGCCATTTATAAGAGATTCATAACTTTCGTAGCCACCATGGCCGCCCATACGATTGCCGCCTGTGAGATTCAAATTGGGTGGCATTCGCTCCTGCTGCTGCACAGATCTCCATTAGAACGATTACCGCGCATGAAAATGAAATCGTCTCCGCAAAGCCTACCAAAGTTTTCCACAAGCCTACGTCCTCCACTNGGGTATGGCCGCTACATCACCGGGCATCAACAAGCTGGTGGCAGTGCTATTTGCCAGCCTTTGCTCCCACACGGAAGATCCTTGGCCTGGCCAAGAAAACGCCTGGTGCCTTAAATACTGACTTCGCACCCCTCCGTTGGTGTCTCAGAGAACAACGCAAAGGCACAGACACCATGAAGACATACAGCATCTTCAGCTGCATCATTTCGGTCGGACTGGGCGCAGTAAGTCCCCCATTGCGAGACTGTGTTCTTATCTGCTTCCAGAAAGAACCCGTGCCTTCAGCACCCTTCTCTTACTCAATCAATGTAGTCTCGCGATTGCTAACAGTGAGAGCTAGGTGCTTGGAAGAGATGCAACGTCTCTCGTATTTGACCCAGATATGGGCCATCAAGTAAGGCGTCCCGAGATCTACGGGACGACTTCCAAACACTAACAGAGATTGGAATAGGTGTTGAACATGACTTCATTCTCTATCGCAAATCACCGTCACAAGGGAGACCTTCATGTGCGGGCAACGGTAAGCCACCATCTGGACCAGTTAACGCAGGGCTGACGAAAGAACAGGATGCAGCAACCAAGCCGCAGTGCTTTCCTGAATACGGAATCGCCCGCCTGGACGAGACCACAAGCAACATCGACCATCTGAACGATGTTGCAGCCCAAGACGCGGTGTGCGTGGCGGAGCCAGGAACCTGCTCTCGCCCATCTCATCTGGGCCACTCCTCCATTTTCATGTGCAATCAAGTATGGTCCAACAATCTTAGATGAACATGGCACCGCGACTGACAAGAAGCCACAGTTGGACCATCCCATCCAAACGATGTGTGTAGACCTGATCAACGCCACCACGGCGCTGTCTGCGGCCTGCCGCTTCGGAAATGATTATACGTATGGCTACCTGACGAACACCACCTCGGGGCCTGACAGCTATCCCTACGTCGTGGCCCTCGGTGACGACTATGCCTTTGGGTCGCATTGATCTTGGGGCAATTTGATTCTACTGCCACCTTTCTCGGGTTGTTGGGGTGGAGGGCGGGGTATTGGAGCCAATACTCGACTGGGCAAGTACCCTGAGATGTGAAGGGTTAGTTATTTGCTTTTCCTGTGAAGAATATGATATTTGGTCCTCAATTCTAGTTTGGTTGAGCTGAGTCCCACTCAGCCCACCGCAGAGAAGGATTCTGCTCTGGCAGGATTCCGAGACGGTAGTGAATGTCAGGGACTCCAGTATCTGCGCAGTTTATGTACCATTTAACCTGAGAATTTGGTCAGTCGAACATCGTGATGGCCTGTATCTGGGCATCAATTTCTTGCTATACATAGATGCCCAAGCAGGGGGATATTCATTGAAGAGGTGAAAGGCATCGAGAAAACAGTCCTTCGGCATTGCGTAGTTTCTACCCTTGGAATCACCATTGGCCAACAGCGGACCGCTATGGCTATGGCTAAAGGGAAGTCTAGAATTCTCTGCCTATTCGGGATGGTATTACGATATTTGCGTTGGTCTACCAACAGAAACTAGATATTGCGTTATCTCCAGTGTTATAGTACCCAGTGTTACCAGGTATGCGCCGGACTAAAGAGTGCAAGCATTTTCCGGGAAATGGATAAATTTAGTACAGACGTTGGCAAAAAGATCCACCGAGCCCGGTGGCTCAGGCACTCCGCCTCGGGTCCCCGAGATATACTTCACGCCGATGGGCTTCTTGGACCTCCTTGGGTTTGATGAACTCGAACACTATGGTCAGCGAGCAGGCAGCCACCAGCGTAACTCCGGTTATGATGGTGGTGATCAGCGCCATGATAGACCAGTCCCCGTCTCGTGCAGTATAGATATTGATGAGCGTGGTCGCAAGCCCAGCGGCCGCCTTCATGATGATTGGCCTGGACCTCAGTCAGTGTGCAACTCCCTTGTCGAAGAAGGAAAAATCGCTTACGAGAACAGTCGATTCACGAGCCAGATGTAGTTGCTCCGCCATTCCCAGTAGAGCCACCCGAGCGCGGCAGTGGATGCCACAAACAGAATACAGGCAATCGCGAGAAGCGGGGGGTTTTGGACCGTGTTCAGGACGGCCTGTCCCACGTCGTCCTTTGCCAGCGCGTCCTGGACTTGGCCAGATTTCTGCAGCGCCGTGAAGGTGCCCGGGACTATCAGATACCCCGCGAGCAAGGTCCAATGGGCAATGCTAGCAATGACATTGTACATCCAGGGCATGGAATCTACCTCCAACAGCATCTGCATATACCGGGTTTGTCCCGCAAAGGGGACTGGGTGCTGAGTCTGCGATGCCATCTGGCTTGCGCTCGAACACCAGACAAGGCTCTGATAACGTGCCGCTGCGTGTCTGAGGTGGTAGTTTCTGAACCGGTAAAAAGGCGAATGGATGGCCAAAACTCTCGCAACGGCTCTGCAACAAGGAGCTGCAAAGACAGTGGTGACCTTACCGGCATTGGCGAATTGAAGCCCGCCCATATACAGGGGTCGAGTCTGCCCGGTGTCTACTATATGGACATTGCCCGGGTACGTCGCAGCTTCTGAGGGCCAGTATCGGCTTGCGCTGGACGCTCACTTGGCCTCATTTTTCTGTCCGGATTGCACAGCGACGCCCTCAATTAACTTGCCTGCGTTCAAATGTGCGAGACCCCTGGTAAGCAGACGATCTTTACTGTCGGGCTGGTATTACCCCAGAAACACAATGTCTATGGATGCATATAATCTAAAGCGCTGTGCACTTGTCTTGAAGCCGCGGTGATTCTGCGGTGTGTGCCAATGATGTCTTCTCGAAATCGCGTGCAGCAGGAACAGATCCGCAAGCGGCGCAATAACCTCCTTCGTCGCCACAATGATTTCTGGCGGCTGTACGCGATTCGCAGCTGGACTACGCTGGAGATGCCAAACGGCCGGATCTACACGTATCGATCCCATCCTCATCTCCCTGCTCCTACTGACCGTGAAATGGTGAGTTCTCAGCGACGCAGAAAGAACTTGATGCTGACAGATTCAGCGGGAACGACCCCATCCAGTCGTGCACAGAACACCAGCGGACTATGGTCCTCCGTGTCCGACCGACATGGTGTTGCCGGCAGTGCCCTCTCTCAAGGTGCTTGGACGCCGAAGTCAACTATGGGATTTGCTATCAAAACAGCTGAGCAGACTGCCTGGACGAGCGCGGAGTTGATGCTCGTCTCTCGCGAGTTCGCCCCACACCGTTTGCCTTTGACGCTAAACTTGTCTACTCTGTGCACGGCCTAGCGATAAAATTAGTGTGTGGCAGTATAATAATGGGGGTTTCTTTCTGGCGGGCTTTCGCTGTGGGGCAACGAACGGTAGGATATAGACCAATATACGTTACAGAGTTGATTAGCGCCCGCCATAATAAGAGGATATTCCCACAGCTTGTCATGCCATCTACCGTGCAATGTGGAAACGATGTTAATCCCAGGTGAAAGGTAGTTAAAAATCAGTCGTCTCGCAACCGCTGCCCATATAAGTGAAAACCCATCTTCTCGTGCTAAGAAAGTGTCCATCATTGTTTGATATCTTAGTCCATTCTTCAGTCTGACAATGGAGCCGGTCGCTGATCGCCAATACCACACTCAGCAAATTGCAAGCGATGAGAGTCCCGAAACACCGCAATCAGATGTGCGAATGAGCTTAGCACTACCCGAGGAATTGCTGCCCTCGGAAATGGTGCTTGCCGACTTGGAACAAGACTCCAATAATTCGATGTTTCAAAACACAATCCAAGCCTCAGGGAGGAGGATATCGCCATTACACGGAGTCACAAGCGGGAGAGATATTGCGCTCTACCGTGATAGGGAGCGTTCTGCTGCTAGCCCAGGCTTTGAAGACCCATTCGACGGAGAAGACCTGATGCTACATATGACCAAAATTGCACTGGAACTACTGCGAGGGCTCTCAACCAGGAATGCGGAAGGCCATGTGAAAGCGACCATCGGCCGGCAGAGGCGTTCCCATCGTTTCGCCCAAAAAGCCCGTAGGGCCACGAGATGGATATACCGTTCTGTGCAGCAGATTCAAAAACCCGGACAGAGCCTGGATGATCAAGCCGAGCTCTCCCCTGCGATGGCAGGTGGTGCTGGGCCGGTATGGGCTCGAGCACCAAGATATCCCCTTTGCATTCGAATACCCTCGACCCTTGCTCTGGTGATGCGATTCCTACCAGAGGGTGTTAAACGGTCAATCAATCTCCGCGACCGCGCGGATGTGGCGAGAGTCTTCATGGCCCTGGTGGATCACTGGTTATCTGAGGCTGGCGGGGAAGGAGCTTTGACCAGCCGGGAAACTACGAGGCAGCTTGCAAGCGCTGAGAAGTCTGCCAAGATAGTTGAGGCAGAATAGATCATGGGCGAAGATGACCGGATTCTTGGCGGTGAAAGCTTGGCCTTTGGAATGCCCGTCTTGTCAGTCTTGTCAGTCCGTTCCAGTGAGAATCCCGACACCAAACAGGCATTAGTTAGTTCCCTGGCCATTTATAAGAGATTCATAACTTTCGTAGCCACCATGGCCGCCCATACGATTGCCGCCTGTGAGATTCAAATTGGGTGGCATTCGCTCCTGCTGCTGCACAGATCTCCATTAGAACGATTACCGCGCATGAAAATGAAATCGTCTCCGCAAAGCCTACCAAAGTTTTCCACAAGCCTACGTCCTCCACTCGTGCTGGATCAGGTCCGAACGGTGTTGCCGTACTTATCCCCCCCCCCCGCAGCTGGAGTGTGCGCAGCTATGGATTGACGAAGCTCGAATCCTCCAGAATTCCTCATTCACGTTAGTCGCGCTGGTCGACCGAATGTGGGGTCTGACCAACGAAGAGGTGGCCTTTGCGCGACTCCGAATCTATGGGCCGTTTACCATGGAGTGGATACAGCGTGAGATACCCGACCTCCGTCCGACACAGATGGTACTGGCCCAGTGGATTGTGGAACACAACCGGCTCATGATGGAGTGTCCCAAGCCGGTTGTCTCTGGATCGCACCGCGCGCTGCAACGTCTCGTCACGCCAGATATCCTCGCAGGGCTCTTAGGTCTCTCTGCCTCCCAGCGGAGGCGTGTCGGTCGACGTCTCCGCCCCAATGGCGATGTTTGGGACGCGACCGGGGAATATCCTTACTCTACGGCCGATCGACTGTGGAGTGCGGCGATGCGGATGGAGCGACGATGGTGGCGGTCTCTCTGGCCGGGGCGATCACATGAAAGGCCAGTCACTCTCAACCAGGTCATTGGTATCTTTCCCCGTCTCGAACCGGATGCTGTGGACCAGGTCTCACGGTTTCTAGAGTGGCGAACATGGCGTGGGAGGGGAGCGTCTGCGACGTTGCAGGACGTGATGTTGTATCTACAGCGAGAAAAGCGCGTGTCAGATGTGGACATGCATTATGCGCGCAAGCGCTTGGGGCTGGAGCAGGAAATCACGGAAAGTTTGAAGTCTCATTGATGGGAAGTTCGTGGGATTGAGTTCGTCTGTAGTCTGTCGCCTGTCTCGTTTATTCTCTTACATGAAAAATATATTTTGTGACATCCCGGGCCAGGCTGGGTATTTCTCGACAAACCTGAATCCCATGATCCCCTAGTACACATCATACCCACCGGGACGAAGGCAACCCCATACGCGGCATATTCCATTGCTTCTTCCACTCATACTCCGCCACTGCCTCACGCTCCTGTGCTTGCCGTAGCGCGCCACGTAGCTTCTGGGCTGCTCCCCAAATGCGAGGATGGCCGGCCAGGTTCACTTCTGGCTCGAAATACTGAAGTAGCGACAGCTCCTGTGATACGTCGATCGCCACGGCGGTCAGATGCTGGAAAATGTGCAGGCAGTGTTCGTAGAATTGATTCTCGCGCTCCTGCTGCTCCCACTGTTGTCGCTTGTCTTTCATAGTTTCGGGAATCGACCGTCGCCGAGCCGATTTGACTGCTTGGAGTCGGGTGCGGGTGGTGTCCAGCGCCATTGTGGATCCACCGGCCAAGGCAATTTGGTGATCGAGTGGACTGATATCCGGAAGATCAAAGCCAGCTGGCGGGGGTACGGTTGGTGCTTGAGAAGGTAATTCAAGTTTGGGACAGTCGGGTGAGCGACTGTAGACGCTTGCATCGTCTTCGTTGCCAAGCATGGAGCGAGTGGACGACATTCTTTTGTTTGCAGACCTAAGGCGCTTTGGATGCGGCCAGCTGTGGATGCCCTAGGTAGATTAGACCTAACGACTGCAAAGGCTGCATACTTATAATCTTTCCCGAGTCTCTGTGGCTACATCTCATATGGACCCCGGATTACACCTACTTATTTCTGGATACACAACTCTTTTTGACCGATGCGGGGCCGCCNTCGTCGCCACAATGATTTCTGGCGGCTGTACGCGATTCGCAGCTGGACTACGCTGGAGATGCCAAACGGCCGGATCTACACGTATCGATCCCATCCTCATCTTCCTGCTCCTACTGACCGTGAAATGGTGAGTTCTCAGCTACGCAGAAAGAACTTGATGCTGACAGATTCAGCGGTAACGACCCCATCCAGTCGTGCACAGAACACCAGCGGACTATGGTCCTCTGTGTCCGACCGACATGGTGTTGCCGGCAGTGCCCTCTCTCAAGGTGCTTGGACGCCGAAGTCAACTATGGGATTTGCTATCAAAACAGCTGAGCAGACTGCCTGGACGAGCGCTGAGTTGATGCTCGTCTCTCGCGAGTTCGCCCCACACCGTTTGCCTTTGACGCTAAACTTGTCTACTCTGTGCACGGCCTAGCGATAAAATTAGTGTGTGGCAGTACAATAATGGGGGTTACTTTCTGGCGGGCTTTCGCTGTGGGGAAACGAACGGTAGGATATAGACCAATATACGTTACAGATTAGCGCCCGCCATAATAAGAGGATATTCCCACCGGTTGTCATGCCATCTACTGTGCAATGTGGAAACGATGTTAATCCCAGGTGAAAGGTAGTTAAAAATCAGTCGTCTCGCAACCGCTGCCCATATAAGGGAAAACCCATCTTCTCGTGCTAAGAAAGTGTCCATCATTGTTTGATATCTTAGTCCATTCTTCAGTCTGACAATGGAGCCGGTCGCCGATGGCCAATACCACACTCAGCAAATTGCAAGCGATGAGAGACCCAGCACACCGCAATCAGATGTGCGGATGAGCCTAGCACTACCCGGGGAATCTCCGCCCTCGGAAATGGTGCTTGCCTGCTCGGAAGGATACTCCAATAATTCGGTGGTTCCAAACACAATCCAAGCCTCAGGGAGGAGGATATCTCCGTTCCACGGAGTCACAAGCGGGAGAGATATTGCGCTCTACCGCGACAGGGAGCGTTCTTCTACTAACCCAGGCTTTGGAGACCCATTCGACGGAGAAGAGTTGATGCTACACATGGCCAAAATGACACTGGAACTGCTGCGAGGGCTCTCAACCAGGAATGCGGAAGGCCATGTGAAAGCCACCATCGGCCAGCAGAGGCGTTCCCATCGTTTGGCCCAAAAAGCCCGTAGGGCCACGAGATGGATATACCGTTCCGTGCAGCAGATTCAAAAACTCGGACAGAGCCTGGATGATCAAGCCGAGCTCTCCCCTGCGATGGCAGGTGGTCCCGGGCCGGTATGGGCTCGAGCACCAAGATATCCCCTTCGCATTCGAATACCCTCGACCCTTGCTCTGGTGATGCGATTCCTACCACAGGGTGTTAAACGGTCAATTAATCTCCGTGACCGCGCGGATGTGGCGAGAGTCTTCGTTGCCCTGGTGGATCACTGGTTATCTGAGGCTGGCGGGGAAGGTGCTTTGACCAGCCGGGAAACTACGAGGCAGCTTGCAAGCGCTGAGAAGTCTGCCAAGATAGTTGAGGCAGAATAGATCATGGGCGAAGATGACCGGATTCTTGGCGGTGAAAGCTTGGCCTTTGGAATGCCCGTCTCGTCTGTCCGTTCCAGTGAGGATCCCGACACCAAACCGGCATTAGTTAGTTTCCTGGCCATTTATAAGAGATTTATAACTTTCGTAGCCATCTTGGCCGCCCATACGATTGCCGCCTGTGAGATTTAAATTGGGTGGCATTCGCTCCTGCTGCTGCACAGATCTCCATTAGAACGATTACCGCGCATGAAAATGAAATCGCCTCCTCAAAGCCTACCAAAGTTTTCCACAAGCCTACGTCCTCCACTCATGCTGGATCAGGTCCGAACGGTGTTGCCGTACTTATGCCCCCCACAGCTTGAGTGCGCGCAGCTATGGATTGACGAAGCTCGAATCCTCCAGGATTCCTCATTCACGTTAGTCACGCTGGTCGACCGAATGTGGGGTCTGACCAACGAAGAGGTGGCCTTTGCGCGACTCCGAATCTATGGGCCGTTTACCATGGAGTGGATACAGCGTGAGATACCCGACCTCCGTCCGACACAGATGGTACTGGCCCAGTGGATTGTGGAACACAGCCGGCTCATGATGGAGTGTCCCAAGCCGGTTGTCTCTGGATCGCACCGCGCGCTGCAACGTCTCGTCACGCCAGATATCCTCGCAGGGCTCTTAGCTCTCTCCGCCTCACAGCGGAGGCGTGTCAGTCGACGTCTCCGCCCCCAATGGCGATGTTTGGGACGCGACCGGGGAATATCCTTACTCTACGGCCGATCGACTGTGGAGTGCGGCGATGCGGATGGAGCGACGATGGTGGCGGTCCCTCTGGCCGGGGCGATCACATGAAAGGCCAGTCACTCTCAACCAGGTCATTGGCATCTTTCCCCGTCTCGAACCGGATGCTGTGGACCAGGTCACACGGTTTCTAGAGCGGCGAACATGGCGTGGGAGGGGAGCGTCTGCGACGTTGGAGGACGTGATGCTGTATCTACAGCGAGAAAAGCGCGTGTCAGATGTGGACATGCATTGTGCGCGCAAGCGCTTGGGGCTGGAGCAGGAAATCACGAAAAGTTTGAAGTCTCATTGATTGGAAGTTCGTGGGATTGAGTTCGTCTGTAGTCTGTCGCCTGCCTCGTTTATTCTCTTACATGAAAGATTTATTTTGTGACATCCCGGGCCAGGCTGGATATTTCTCGACAAACCTGAATCCCATTATCCCCTAGTACACATCATACCTACTGGGACGAAGGCAACCCCACACGCGGCATATTCCATTGCTTCTTCCACTCATACTCCGCCACTGCCTCACGCTTCTGTGCTTGCCGTAGCGCGCCACGTAGCTTCTGGGCTGCTCCCCAAATGCGAGGATGGCCGGCCAGGTTCACTTCTGGCTCGAAATACTGAAGTAGCGACAGCTCCTGCGATACGTCGATCGCCACGGCGGTCAGATGCTGGAAAATGTGCAGGCAGTGTTTGTAGAATTGATTCTCACGCTCCTGCTGCTCCCACTGTTGCTTGTCTTTCAGAGTTTCGGGAAGCGACCGTCGCCGAGCCGATTTGACTGCTTAGAGTTGGGTGCGGGTGGTGTCCAGCGCCATTGTGGATCCACCGGCCAAGGCAATTTGGTGATCGAGTGGGTTGATGTCCGGAAGCTCAAAGCCGGCTGGCGGGGGAACGGTTGGTGCTTGAGATGGTAATCCCGGCTTGGGACAGTCGGGTGAGCGACCGTAGACGCTTGCATCGTCTTCGTTGCCTAGCATAGAGCGATTGGACGACATTCTGTTGGTTTGCAGATCTCGCAGGGCACAGTGTCGTTGTGGATAACAAACGTAAGGGGCTTTCGATGTGGCCAGCTGTGGATACCCTGGGATGATCAGACCTCATGACTGCAAAGGCCGCATACTTATAATCTTTCGCCAGTCTCTGTGGCTACATCTCATATAGGCCCCGAGTTACACCTACTTATTTCTGGATCCGGACCCACAACTCTTTTTCACCGATGAGGGCCCGTCCTGTTACCTACATTCGGTGAGCCAGTACTTTGGAAGTTCGACTGAGGGTATTAAAAAACACTGTACGCCAAAGAACTGACCTCCTTGGGTTATGGAGGTTCGGAAGAGAAATGCCCGGGCGTCGAATAGAAGGTGTTACCTGATACCAGCCAGCGTAATCGATGCCCGGGTATTTGACCCTGCAACGTCACCATCGTCCTTAGCACCCTACAGTATTACATCTTTGCGCTTATTGCCCAGTGATAATTATTCGAAACCGAGGAAGGAGCCATAATACATCCTGAAGAGCTCTTCAACAATGTGATCGCAAAAATGGAGCTCAAGCAAAAGTAACGAGTCGGCCACTTTCTCTTTATTCATTAATAGAGACATGCCAGGTACTGACTTGATATCAAGCCACTTGTCGTTCAGGATGAGGGTACGACGCTGAGAATCGATCAGCATCGCAGGATATGCATATTCGCCTCGAGAAATTTCGAGGTTGGAGTCGTAGTGGCAACCTGCTAAAGATGCCTTAAAAGCCCGCAGTACATGGTTGGCAAAAATTGTGTCTGGCGGCTCAGATACTGTACTGCAGCATTTCGAAACAATTCAGCATGCTCCTCATTTGCCGTTCGAATTGGCACGACGCCACGCAGTAAATTCCACAGGCCCTCTGGCAGCCCCACCGGTTCTTTCCTCAAGGCTCCAGTAATAGTTCCGATACTCTGGACGGAACCAGGTGATTGTCAGATATGAATAAACGGATCTGTCTGCTAACGCACCTTGCTGTCGCGTAATCGGCAAAAATAGAATTTCCGACCGTCTGCCTCCTTCAAGAGATGTTCCCAAATTAGAACCCTTGTGGGTTTCTCTAGAAGCTGGTCTGCCATTTCCACGTCCGGCGCGCGAGGGCATTCTCGAAGTAGGTTGACGTAGACGGGGAGGATCAGCGCTTGATTCTGTTTGATTGCTGATTCCCAAATTTTTCGCACTAGGTCCGCCTCCTCATATGGATTGACTAACCGTTGTCGGTCACGATTGACTTCGCCGTGAACAAAGTTATAGCCGAAGTGGAAGGGGCGTGTCTCTAGCGCGCATGCCGGGAGGAGGAGCCCCTTGAGGAATAGTTTACCACGGAATCCAGGATCTAGAATAAGACCGCCGTGGTCCGTCTCGATGATGGACTCTGGATAGGAGAAACCACGGATCTCGAGAGTTACTCCGAGCCATTTCCTAAACATTTCGAAAGTGTCAACCTGGCACGACTGGTGTCCAGGGTAAATCACAACAGACACATCTCTCCAGGTACGAGATATGCAAGACGCCATGTCCCGGCCCGAATTTGTTTTCTTATTAGGCCTAACCTCGTCAGTTGAACTAATAACGCAACAAAATCGAGATGGTTTTGCCAACGAAAAGTCCCAATGTGAGCTATCGGTTTGAATGCTGACCCGGTACTTTTCTCGGGTCATTACCATGGCTGCAAGCTTGAGTCCTTCTCCATGGCATCCAGCAAGCTGGCCCTTGCCCTGCTTCGATGTTTGCCCCAATTGGAGGAGATCAGGCGTAAGCCGAGCGCAAGCATTTGTCAGAGTAAGTTTACCCGACGCTTTCTCGTAGGTGATAAACCCCAGGGCTTCTGTCCTAGACTTAGGCTTTGGCACCGTGACATAAACCTGCGTTTCGTTCTCTTTATATACCGGCCTGAATGCTGCGGGATCTAGCTGAAATGTTTCTATAATATCATCTTTCCTACTCTGGGTCAGTAGGACTGCGAACTAAGGGTATGGAGCCTACCAATTCTGATACAGCTCTCGAAATGCAGCGGTTGTATTCCAGTGCTTAACATAACTTGGCGAGAAATTGAGAAAAATTCTCGGTCGGACTTGTTGGGCCTGGAGGATTCGAAACCTCTCTATGAACTTGAACATCGCAGATTTCAGGACTTTTTGTCTCCGATTCCTGTTTGGCCCAGCTGATGATATCATTGTCGTTGCTGACTTCATGTGATGGAGAATCCATTGATGATTGAAAGGAGAAAAGAAAAGCTGTTTGTAAAATAATACCCGGAAGCACTTGAGCATATTTGTCTGAACTATATAGACCCTTTACTGTACAGTGGCGTGAGTACGCGATTGGGCCTATTCAGGGAAGGCAGGAGGAGGAGGCAAGGTGAGCTACTGGATGACGCAAATTGATAACAGGGGTTGAGTAGCAAGTTGATCTTCATCCGGCTTTTGGAGGATAAACACCAGAAATCCCAGACAACAACCGAGATTGGGAGGTGGTTCAACACAAACATTGTTTATAGCGTATTAAGTACGTAGGAACCGAGGGCCTCCATAAAAATAAGGGTCTAACGTGGCTTGCCAAGGCTGGCAAGCAAAGTAAAGAGCTGAACATCGAGATCAGCGTTGAAGTTCAGCAGTAAAAAGTCCATCAACGGTCCACATGGCTGACCAGGGCGGATAGATTAAGCGAACCCCTGAGTGCTGAACGCCTGACTCCTGCCCAGTCCCCACTCACTCCAGTGGCCGAATCTACCTGACCCACCTCGGCCCCATCGCAGTCCGCTCAACACAGTCAGTGTTCAACGGCCATAAGCAGACAAAGGCTGCGCGAATCCATTCAGCATGCAACCGAGAATGACCATTTAAAGGCCTACCTTGATTTGATACTCATAATATCAGCCAGTTCCCCGCAAAGTCTAGCTAGATGTAGCAGAAACTGAGGTTTGGTTTGTCTCGATGTCCAATAAACAAAACTGTCAATCTACCTTGATATGTTGAAGCGGACGGTTTGCGGGTATACCTTTCATCTGTTCAATAGCAGTCAATACAAGTTTCTGGACACGTCTAAACGGTATTGGATGGTGTATCCACTTTTGGTGGTTCCAATACCTGCCACCTGGACGTCCTTGGTAGTGTCCGAGGTTAGCAGGGCCGACCTGATCTTCGCGTTTGCCCTGTCGATTGGTACGTATCTTTCAAAGCCTTTAACCTGACTCTCATTATCCTCAGTTATCTCTCTGGTGCTAATTCTAGCGCAGTTGGGTTTTCTGTGGTTCCGTTTGGAAGATGTGGTCGGGGTTTCTGGCTGGCAATGGTTGAACTTCGCCCCTCAGCACTTAATAAGATGTCCAGGATTTGGCAACGAAGAATGTGATTGGCTTAACGGTCGACAGAAAAGTAAGAGGTGGCTTTCTTGTGTGCCTCTCTGGAAAAATCTCTGGAAAAAAGTAGCTTTGAGGGGTTACCATTGTGCGTGCGCGCCGACTTGCTCGCCCAACACTTCGTTCCACTGAGAGCCGCGGCGTGACGTTCAATCGGTGGATAGAGAAATGTCAGAATCAAAAACTCCATTGTGCCTCTAAATTGATCCATGTTTTCAGATATCCGCAAAAGTTGAGTTCCACTATCTCCAAGCTCGTTGAGCAATGTGCTCTGGCATCCACTCCGTTAAAACCACAAGGCATGCCTTCAGGTACCGCTGAGCTTAAGGCAATCGCACGATGAAAGGCAAGGGGTGATCAATAAGTGGCTGTATTCACTACTCACTACAGGCAAACCCTAGAATAATCGAGCTCAATGAAGTAACCTCAGTAGGGCGGCGATAGCTTTCTGATGTCACGAAAACCGTTCGAATTGCCCTTTCCCATTCTTGCGTGTCATGGCAATGGTATATGGAATGGGAGTCATTTGCCCTACTGTCAGGGAAATACAGTACAACCCAACTTCCCTGCATTTATTGCATTTCTATATTGTTAGACAGAGGCAAGCCAGTGAAGTTACTTGGAGCGGCTAGTCCCACAACACCCTGAGACTCACGTAAGCTTCTGACTTCTCTTTTGAGCGCTTCGACGCTGTTAGTGCCAACGGAACAAGTTATGAAGGTTGAAAGAAAAATGGCACATTAATGGTCTGGTTTACCAAAAAAAAAAAAAAATGGATACCATAACTATTAGGAGTTAAGGCGTGGAAAATTCAATCCAAATGGAAAATCTCATACCAATAAAGACTTAGAGCGCTAGGCAATGAGTTACGATGGCCACCTCGTGCAGGGGCAGCTACCAGTCAAGCCTGGGGGCTCCAATCCGGGAACGCGGGCTGATTTGAAGGCACGTACTGTCCATTGAGAACCTGATCAATTGGTGGTATCACTTGAGGACCGGTGTCAGGATTCATCGGGGGCGGCAGCCTATTGACCGCAGTTAAATCCCCTCTGACTCCTGGCGCTTCTTGCCCAAATACGAAACTTGGAGAACTGAGACTGGCCTCACTTCCGCTTAACCGCATCCAACGAGGAGAACCTGTGCGGGCAACGCTCATGCCGTGTTGCGGGCCAGGGAGTCCATGAATGACAGCGGTGTCTCCTTCCACAACATGGTAGAGGGAATTAGTCGAGATCCCATGGACTTCTTGTTGATACTGGTTTTCCTGTGAGCGGGGAGTAGACGACTCCTCTGGACCTGTGGGCTTCTGCAAAATGTAACCCTCGCACGACAGCTTAGCTTTAACACAAGTATTACCTTGATAGAGAAATTAGCCCTGAGATTGCGCATCGATAAAGCGATACAAGGGAGTCCGGTCGTCTCGCAAAAAAGAAAAAAAAAAACTAATCAAAGATTGGAAAAGGATACCGGGACATACATGCAGGGGACCGTCTGTCACACACGCTTTTTCTGCGACGACAGGTAATACAACCGGTGCCGGATCCTTTCCCCTTAACTGAAGCTCTTGGCTTCCGAGGACGTCTCACCGGGTTGGTGGTTTGCGCTGAGGCAGTAGTCGCCGGCGATAGCTCTTGTTGATGGAGAACGGGTAATAAAAGCGTCGGACCCGGATCGTCGCGAGCTTTCGGCTGGATTCCTCTACTCTCAGGTCGAGCTCCGGTTACATCACACCGAGTCTGAGTCGAATCCGCTGTATTTCCGCCGAGAGGCAAATCATGAATGGTAGCCGAATGGTCACCTCCGGAACCTTTTTTGGGGGATCGGGCACCTAGACTCTCGGCAGCTATTGTAGATACACTTATGGCAGCCGAGTTGAACTGATGGTGTGGATTTGCTGGCTGAGAACCCGCAACGTTATCCGCCTGGTACGTGCCCGGGACGTCTTCATTAGATACATCCCTCTCTCGAGTACCAGTAGGACAGAGTTCGATCGGCTGGTGGCCTCTTCCTGATGATCTGCCGTCTGCTGTGGTCCGTTCAGTTACAGGGTGGAGGACAGCGGTACCCGTTGCATCGAGATCTTCTATGTCGGCTCTTGAAGCGCTGGAAACCGTGCACTCATTCCACAAAGGCCCTTCTCCTGTATCTTGAGTTATTGCTTCAGTGCGCATGGTTTGATGGGACGACTCCGGACATTCTTGCCTCTCAGCGGTTCCCCCGCTCGATGTTCCCGAGCTGCGGAGGCTTCTGAGAGGAGTCAAAAATGAAACGGAAAAGCTGGCATCCGGATCGGACGCAAGTGAGAATGGATTGGTACGGTCGGGTATTGCAACACGAGCGGATTTGTTGGCGGTCGACGGTGGCAAAGAATCATCCGCGCGAAGTTTCCGCTTCGATCCTGCACGATCTTTTCCATGGTCATTCCGTGCCCGGTATTGTGCAGCCACGATCGCAGCATAAGTTCGGGATCTACCGAAGTCGGCTTTGAATGCAGCCTCAACTTGTTTCTTTGTTAGATGCTTGTGATCTTGGAACCACTGGGGTAAACAATCTAGTTCCTGCGGCTCCCATGAGGGCAGAGTAGATCGCGCTAATAGAGAAGGTCAAGCTAGGTACATAATTAAACTGTTCATCAAATAGGACTCACGTTTGCTTTTTCTGACTCCTCTTGGTCTTGCTGGTTCCGGAGGCCCAGTAGCCTGCAGGTCACCTGCATTCTTGAATTTATCGTCGATCTCCTGAGTGCTTTGGGAGAGTTGCCTAAGAGTCTCGAGCCTTTGGTTTATTCTTGCCCGGCAATCGTTGTTCGCGTCGATGACTTCATCCAAGTCAGTATGTAATGGTGAAAGAAGGGGAGATAGAAATAGCGAGAAAAACTGATATTAAAGAAAAGACTCACTCTGTGAAGCACGTTCGTTCAAGTCCAATAATAATTCCTCGACTAATCGCATCGCCTCTTCCTCAGACTGCACATCGCTCGGATAATATCGTGGATTTATAAGTTTTTGTGGAAGGCCTGACTTGATAAAGTTATGGTCCGATTCCGTTATCCGGATCAAACCCTTCCGGCCATCCAGTTGTAAATAATAATAGCCGTCTTCTCGTCGCTCGGGCGTATATGTTGGTGCAAGGACAATGTCGAGCCAGCGAACATCATTGTCAACCTCCCCTTCGTTGTCCTTCACAAGCTGAATGTTTCCAAATAAAGCGTCAATCTTCCCCGCCATCGTGTCACTAGCAAGCGGAATCTTAAAATGCCGCGCAAGGCTATTGTCGCCCTCGAGAACAGTGGCAAGTGATTGCGACAGGTCAAGGGTCAATTGCAACCTGTGCTGTGTGGGAGAAAAGTGAGCACGGAGCTTTGTACTGCAAGCAGTCAAGGCCGGATTGCACCCGACCCCTGAGGCGTTTTGCTCTTGGGTACTGGAACCCATCTTGACGAGAGTTCAGTTTCCAGTGAAATGTGAGGAATAGGCTGGCTGAAGGTTGAGGACAGGTCAAAAGGTGAGATTTTTATCTCGCCCTTCAAGATCATCCATTCAACGGCCAGCACGATCGCCCAAAGATTCGAACTGAGAACCGCCGTATTCCAATGGTGACGCTACGGTAGAACAGAGCGCTTTAAAAGCCGAGCTGAACGCGAACACTATCGGTTGAGCCACGTACAGGCGGGGCCACAACGAAGGTCCATAAATGTAATCGTTACAAGGAGAAGGAGGCTGCAGGCAGAAGGAAAAATCGGTGCCTGCCAAGACCGGGGTTCAACTTCAGGTTCGGGCTCAGGAAGTCTCTGAAGCGAAGAGTGAACGGCCTATAATTGCGGTGTATTATTATTTTATTATTATTATTATTATTATTTTCGGGAAAGCTGGCTGCTATCCGTTACAAGAGTTTGACGTACCGAAGTCGGAAAAATAATTCAGTGGGGTTCTTTGGCAAGAGAAGGTGGGTCCCATGTATGATATGTATTATTCCACGCCAGTCCACACCCTGTAGAAGATTTGGAATCATGGTGACTAGCGAAAGAGAAGGTCGTGGTAAGTCTGCAAGGTATTTTTCAAATTCTGGGCTGCCTAGCTTGTGGCACGTGCTGCTGAGATCACAACGAAATCCACCATCTTCTGACAAAGTCCAACCGTAATGGCTTGATTTTTAACGTTGCTTCCCAAGCACCTTCGTTTTTCTCACGGATTTGGTTCCGAGCCGCTGAATACTGTGGAACCTTTGGTAAGTTGGTGGGCTTAGCGATATGTCAAGTAGCCATCCCGGTTGGTAACGCAAGTATTCAAGCACTTAGCAAATGACTGATACACAAACAGGGAGAAATCGAGGACTTGGCATACTCAAAATCGACAGCGCTTTTAATCCAGCGGCCACGGTCGTTTGAGCACACGCATGTAAAGAGAGAACCCAAGACCGTACACTCGGTGTGCCTGCAGGAGGCAGCGTACAACCACTGGGAATCAAGTCAGGTGAGTAGCGAGATCCCAAACAAGGGATGGACAGGAAATCCTACCCTCCATCGCACTAGAAGAGAAAAGTGATCAGTATCAGCCCCAGCACAATAATAAGCATTATGCCGAGTGAGAGGATCGAGGTGGCAGCAACCTACGCGAAGATTCCCATTGCGATTGCTGAGGAAGTCCAAGAGATTCAGTGAAGGAGTCAGAGTCCCTCCATTTTTAGCAGGGCAGGTCGCCCGACCATACGTCCAGTGAAGACGAAGTAATAACAGGAGTTCCAGGCTCCTTAGCCATGGGCACCAATCATGGATGCCAGCAAGGCAATAGGGACAATAAGTTTCATTGTAGAGGGCCTGGAAGGAACAAATTGAGTATCTGCTCGGGGTCAAGCTGCTCTTCACGCGTCTCATCCCCCTTGATATACCGCAGGAGAGTACAGAGGTCCCCTCAATTTTCCGACCTTCTTCCTCGCCAGAATTTACACCCCGGTCAAGAGCTAATGCAGTCGAGTCACGTCACATTCAAATATTGTCAAGCGTGGTAAAGCCTAGGCCCAGAGAGTATAGAGTGTTGACCACTCGATACCTCTCAAGGCAACTTGTGTCAAGCTGCGCGAGGTACTCTCGACGTCCCGCTTGCCGCAGCTGTCCTTGCCGCCCTACCAAGAGTACCTAGTAGGGTCCTGTGCTGGTGGAAGTCGATGCCCGCAGATTGTACCTTGGATAACATGGACTACAGGGTTGTGCTGAAGAAGTCGGGTCTGCGAACAGGATAACTAGGAAAATAGTGCAGCAGATCCAATGCCGAAGATTCGGAGGTGCTTCAGACTTGCAGGAGGCCAGAGTCTCTGAAGTTTGGTACTTAGACGGGTTTATGTACAATTCAGCATAACTCGGCGAGCGCTGGACTGAAGAGCTGGCTTAGTCACTCATCGTTCCACAATCCGCAGGGAATCGGAATCAGGATGGATCAAAGACGAGCACTGATCGGACGACGAGGTCACGGACACTGACAGTTGTCACAGCCTATCTAGACATTGTACAATGTAGCTGAACTCTATATGTTATGTAGTACTTTGTACCTTTGGCCATTGTGGACCTTTTTACACTTGCTTTGGCGGGCCTTCGATTCTTCAGGCCCGCCAAGACCAGGCAATAACGAAGCGCTGCGAACTCGTCAAGCAGCAGCGCAATTGGCTATCGACGGGACGGCAAAGGCCTCGTGCATCCGCGAAGGACTGCCTAACCACTGCTAGCAAGACTAGTGGCTGCCGCTTCCCTCGCCCTCGCCTTCATGGGTTCGCTGACTGGCAGACACCTGCGCTTGGACACGACAGATTCTGCTGACAGTCTCAGCCGCCGTCGACTCGTTTGCTGGAGCCCCCCCCTTTAATGGCCGTCCCGCATGGCCTATGGCTTCTGCTCTTTGAATAAATGATTCAGCCTTGGCCTGCGATCTGCCCTGTTTGCTACAATAATAGCACTTCCTCCCTTTTTTTTAATCCTGCTTGCCCTTTTCCCCTTCGATTGTTTGTCTCCTCCACGTTTTGACCCTGATTTTCGATCTAATCCCTCGGAAAGAATCCTGGGCTGTGAAGTCGTTCCGCCAAGATGACCGAACCCGCCGACCAACACACCGACCCCGAGATCCAGCAGCAGTCCGCCTCATTCATCGAGCCCGATGTTCGTCACAGTCACAAATTCCATCTCGCCATTTCCAGTCTAACCACGATAGGACTTTGATGACAAGGATTCTACCTACCAGAGCTCGTACGTTCGATTGACTGCTTTGTTTGTGTTCCTGTCGGAGCCGCTGTCGCTAACTGTCCCAGGCTGGGCGCTGCCAGCTACACAACCAGCATCACGTCGAGTGCGATGAACTACACGTACGTATGTCTACTGCCTGATCAATTCGCGCGCTAATGTTTTAGATATGAAGTACCTTACTTCTAGGAACCCCGGTCGGACCCCTACTAAACCTCCCTCTCCGCAGAACGGTCGCCGATACCACTCATACCACGAAGGAGAATACGTCTTGGTACGCACTCGCTCGCTTTAGGAACAATACTCCAATCCAATCCATCTAACGAACCGACTAGCCAAACGATGAACAAGAACAAGACCGCCTTGACCTGGTTCGTTACCGCCGATAGGAGAACAATTGCGGGAAGGATGGCAGTGACGGAGTGACAACAGAGCCACCACATCTATCGCATGCTGCTGAAGGGCGAATTGCATCGGGCGCCCATCCAGAACCCCGGACGCGTGCTGGATATCGGGACGGGGACGGGGATTTGGGCGATTGATTTTGCAGAGTGGGTTCGTTCGGTACTTTGTTGAGAAACGGGTGTCACTGAAAAGCGAGTTAGTGAACATCCTGAATCAGATGTCATTGGTATGTCTACTTGATCCGGGGTACACGATCGATTAACGATCGGCATCTTTCTGAGCCAGACTAACCAAGACGTGCAGGAAATGACCTGAGTCCCATCCAACCCTCGTGGTACTGACCACCATCCACCACCACCGCGCTCGCCCCGCAATGCGATCTCGTCATACCTTACTAACTCAATAACCTAACTAGGATCCCCCCAAACTGCCGCTTCGAAGTCGACGACTTCGAACTCACCTGGTCGCACAGCCAACCCTTCGATTACATCCACGGGCGCGAGCTGGAAGGCTTCATCCGCGACCACGACCACTTGTTCCAAGAAGCGTTCAAGAACCTGAAGCCCGGCGGGTACTTTGAGATTGCGTCGATGGACGTCAACACGTACTCGGACGACGAGACACATCTCAAGGCGAAGTGTCTTCTCGAGGGGATAAAGAATATGCACGCTGCCTCGAAGAAGTTCGGCAAACATATGAATACGACGAATACTTGGAAGGCGAGGATGGAGAGTGTGGGATTTGTTAATGTTACCGAGGAGGTTTATAAGGTGCGTCGGATCCTTTTCTTCTTCCCCTCTTCTCTGTCCTATCCCGCTTGGTTTTCCTCTCTACTCCCTCTCTTCCTCGAGGCTATTACTAACAAATATATACGAACAGCTCCCCCAAAGCCCCTGGGCCAAAGACCCGAAACTCAAAGACCTCGGCCGCTACCACCAAGTCAACATGTTCGAGGCGCTCCCGCCATACTGCTACGCGCTGTTCACGAGGGTCCTGGGCTGGGAACGCACGGAGATTGAGGCGCTGGTCGCGGGGATGAGGCAGGAGCTGCGGGATTACTCGATCCATTTGTATACGAAGGTGCATGTTCTGTATGGGCAGAAGCCGGAGTGAGGTTGAGTGAATTATATACCGATGCATGTATATACGTTCCAGTACGCCACAGGGCGAGAGATGAGAAGTTTCGAAGCTAAAGGAACAACCTACCGATGAGAACATGACTCAGAGTACCCGGTAGTACCTACTGTTTTGCCGAGTTCCTTGTAGGCTGTTGTGAAAGGCGCGAAGGACACTGAACTGGCGGGCGGGCGGTTCCCTTGGGTCACGGAGCGCTTGACCAACTCTCCAAGTTTTTCGTAAATCGTCCTGAACGGGAGAATCAATCCGTCGCAGCGAACTTCTCTTTAGACCTTTCCGCTGGAGGTGCCTTCCCATTCGCTCCAGCACCCTGTAGGCTGCCCTGAAACAGTAGGACGATACCCCCAGCCCCCACAGACAAGCGCGCGAGGCGCACATTAGAAGACGAACAGCTTCCTGGCGGGGACGTGTACACAAGATATGGGCTTGGTCAGTCGAGGAAGTTCAAGTCACCGTGCGACAAAACATTGCATGAATAAATCATATTATCTGCCTACCATATACATACATCGTGATGTCCATTTGGTATCTCATCTCTCGTTCCGTTACCGCTGACTCCTATTGCAGCCGCACTTCAGCCTAATGTTGCACCAAGCTCGGGTGATCAGAGAGGCTTCGGCGACTCGAGCTAAGAATTTATATATTGATATGATCAAAATCTAATTTTACATTGCCATCGTATCACATACTATTCGAGGGTAAATCAAAATCAGTAACAATACGGTGAGCTCAAACTGCATGCTGCAAAACAGCTGTCGCTGGATCCCAAATTCGGACTACCTGACCCATAGAAAAGACATCAATCAACAGACGTTATTGAACTATTGAAATCGCTAGTCAACTATGAACGCATATTGAGGCAGGTGTAGGATTGGTATTGGACCTGGGCATAGTTTTATCCTGCAATGATAATCAGATATCCCTCATTCTTGGCCTGACGATATGTGCAATTCAGACATGCCCCCTTCTGAAGGATGGTCCGGGCACCTAGCTCACACGACAGAAGTTGCGCGGTGAGTTCCTTGCGACTTGCACAATTGACAATTCGTTAAAACTCGCAATCGGGCACGCAACGGTTGAGCAAGCGGTACCCGCTCGAATGACCGGTTCCAGAACATCATCCTTGGAGTGTGCGCACGGTTCTGCCAGAACTACACCGTAGGATCCCACAATGACTTTGGCCAAATCGACTGCGATATTCTGCCCAGCACAGCGAGCCTCGCAAGTAAGATGGAGCTCGTCCATTGTCGTTGTTGTCGAGGGCGGGTTGACTGTAAATGTAAGGCGTGAATGCGCACCGAAAGAATTTGGCCGAACTTCAATGTCTCTTGATTGGTACATAGGTGAGGGCATTGAGTGTTTTGAGCGGGAGCCAGGGCTAGCAATCAGAGATTTGTAAGAATGGCCCTTGTGTTGAAGCTGTCCATCCACGAACTCGTAGTGGACCCCACGATCAAGATCCAGCTCTAGCTGCCGCAGAGTCGCTGGATAGAGGGTACTTGATCCGGACCATGCTAAAATTCGCTGCAATGGCCTTGTCTCACTTATGACGCCGCTAACATTGGTCCATATGAAGGACCAGAAGTCATAACAATCTGGGTCTGAGAGGCAGCCTGTGAGGTATCGAGTCACAAGGCCACTGGGTGGTTGGCGTCTCGTGATGGTGACAGTAGCATCTGGGCCCGCCTGAACAAAAAAGGACACCAGTCCATCGTCCAACGCCCTCCCAACAGCCTTCCACAAGTGATAAAACGTACAAGCCGGATCCCCACAATGAGGGCTAGCATCGCCCCAAGCAGTATTTGGCCGACGGAGAGTTGTTTGGATTTTCGCACACAAACAGCCTCTGCCCGAGGCGACATGGGAAATGAAGGTCGTAATAAGCTCGCTCATTGCAGTTCCCAGTGTCCCTGGCCATTCAAATGGCGGAACTTCGAAAACCGTTTGGCAAGTTTCAAGCATGCGATGGCGAGGGTAACTTCCGAGAAGATAAGTGAGTCCATTTTTGGGTAGCTCATAGCCACCAATGGTATAATGGATGTCTGAACCCAATTTGCCCTGATCCTCGTCGCGACGAGGCATGACGCACTCCGGTATCAATACCAAGAGATTGCAGCAAGCAAGAAGCAGTGCGTCGGGGCACTTGAGACCCCTTGCTAGAAATTCGAGTCTAAGTTGATTCGCGATCCACCCTTCCCATCTCAGATGGCCTATCCTGGGACCGCGACGTGATTCCGTACTCGTAGTAAGAGGTATGTCGAGCAACATTTTGGAATAGTCGAGTACGTCTTCGGTCCTAACTCGGGGGGTGCTGATGGGCAAGAAGAAAACGTCCCTGAATTCGAGCACGATTGATCGGCGAACTCCTTCGTGTATGATATAATTGTCCACCGAAATCATTGCATCGTCTGGAAAGAGCATCATAACGAGACCATGAATATACCCAAGATACGTCTTCCCTGACACGCGGACAATGCAATCTTCCTGTTGAAGAGCGCGCGATATCCCAAACAGTATTTCGACAATCGACTCTCTGCTTGGTACTGTAAGAAGATCGCGCGGCTGAGAAGATCCTATGTGCCTGTATGCATCGTATACTCGAGTAGCATTTCGTGCAAGGACATTGCCGAACCCTAAACAGCCAAGCTTAGGGGTTATTGCATCTGCAGCCCTGGCTAGCTGAGCGGGAGAGGACACAGCGAAGCCAGGGCCGAGTACGCGCTCAGACAGATCAGCGAGGATCCTCCCATGGTCATTGGGGTATATATTCTTCAGACAAGTCATCAATAGCGCAATGGACTGACCGCCAAGGGAATTTGCCATGAATGATGCGCAGTCGCCTTTACGCCAGCCTATTAGCAGCCCGAAGCGATCGAGTTTCGTCGAATTAAACCGTTGAAGGTAGTCTGGTACCTTTCTGGCCATTTCCCCAGAGATCGGAAACGCTGCTCCCAGTCTTTCAAGTTGCACAGCAGCCATCGGAGCAACATCGTCTGCTGTTATCGCGGATAGTAGCGGGGCGACTGCGGTAAGGCTCTGGAAGGACAATTGGCCAATGTCGATCTGGCGAGTTATATCAGACATTCTTGTATATTCTGGTCGTCTACCGACTGCTAGGCGGACCTGAATTAGAAGAGGCTATTTGAATCAGAAATGCAGGACCACACGCACGAGATTTTGAAAGAACAGGAAATAGATCCGAACAGGAGCCAAATCTTATAACAAAACGTCTAAGGTCTAGCTACACGAATCAACGCATGTCAAAGGCTGAAGGCGATGCAGTCTGCCTGTGGCAGTGCAGTGCCCTTGGACAAGGCGCTTTTATCGCAGTCAAATGCCGCTTGCTTGCGACCCAACAGGATCTGAGCCCCAGTCGTCATCAGGCTGTCTGTTCCCGTGACCAATAAAAGTCTTGAACGTGCGTATGTGGCATCCAATGAGCGTCGTAGTCAGACCAGGCTGCATGGCAGCACTGCCAGCAGCTATTCGTGGCTACACAAGTAGGTTCGATGACTGATGAAATAACGCAGATTCTGTATGACTCATGGTTACTGTTCGCATGACCAACGCGCTTATCATATCAGGTCTTGACCCTGGAACTCATGGGTTACGAGTCACCTTTGCAAAAGACCCGGTAATTGGCCACCATGTATGCATCATCGCCCGTGCACCATGGTCGAATCATGGAGCTTACTTCAAAAAGGCGAGGCAGCGTATGTCACTCTCTCATTTGCGTAAGCTGAGTTAAGCCGCCCAGGCTGTCAGTGTAGGAACCATGCGCGTAAGAACATACTGTCCTTACCTTTTGAGGGTGATGTTTTCTTTTTTCCTTTTGCGCTTTTGCCTTGGTTCAGGCTGTCAATTTTACTGGTGAACCATCCCTTTGACGCCAGGGTTGGTCGACTTTGGGATGGAACCTACAAACTCCATGTAGCTTGATAAAGCAGGTTTCATCCTTGAACCGCTTTGTACAGAAACTTATACAACCAAACGGAACTACCCTTTTTCTTTTTTTTTTCATGTTGAGGTCAGCAGGTGTATTTGCTTTTGTTAACATCCTCGCAAGATCCTGCCTGAGGGGCATGGTACTAGCGCTAGTAATCCTGAGCACTCGAATGCAAACCAACTAGAGTCAAAAGTTGGTGGGACTGGGTTTTGGAATTAATTTTTTGTCGGAGGCAGATCTAGCTATAGCTCCAAATTGCCCAAAAAACTGTTCCATAAAGGGAGCGGCACTGATGGGCCTCAGGGCAGTCACAATCCCTGAGTTGGGACATACTGATTTGGACCAGCCACACCAGCCACACCAGAGAGTTCCCTTTAATAAACTAAGTACTTTTTATTAATGGGTAATTTACTAGGATAATATACTATATGTCTTATAAGGTAATAAGTATGTCCTACAAGTACTACTGTACCTTTCTATATTATTCATAGGGCTTTTTCAACTTTATGTTTATTAGTATGGCCTGTATCCGGCCCTGAGGTAATATTAGGATTAACCTCCGTAGCAATAATCACAGGCTGGAAACATGGATACAAACAAACAAACAATTTATTAACGCCCGGCGGCTAAGCCGAAAGGGCAACTATCGCTAATCTACTAGTACATTTCCTATCGGGTGCCTTGTCTCCTTGTAGCCCATACAAAATCACTTTTAGCATATGTCTTGCCGTCCGTCAGTGTCATGGGGGATTCTCGTGGGTTAGTAATTTTGTTAGTAGGCTAGCTTGAAGGCGCTTCTTCAAGTGTTCAACGTCCTATCTTCGGCAGTTGAAGCGTGTCTACCATGTCGGGCACGAGGTGGTTGGTGTGGGTGAGGTCGAGATGAGTGGGTGATTTGTGTTCGTCTGTCTGATTAAACGGCGTCGAGTCGGCCGGTGGCGATTGCAAACCGTACTGACGTCCGTACCGCTTCCAAGTTTGGAGTCCAGTCTTGATTATCTGAGGGCGATTTCCCGCCCAAGAAGAAGGATATGTTGCCCCGGTGCGTGTTGGTACATTGCAGCATTTCTGTCCGATGTGCCGTCCATCTCCGACATCGAAAGAGAAAGTGCTCTACCGTCTCTCTTGCTTGTCCACATTCACACTGGTCGGTCTGCGCAACGTTGATTCGGTAGAGGTATCCGTTTAATCTTGCCATGCCCGTCCGGAGCTGGGCCAGCACGCTCGCTTCTTTCCACGATAATCGGTCATACAGCTGTCGGGTGTGCTTGCCTGGGAGGGCCGCGTCCACTCTTTTCACGTGTTTGCCCACTTTCCCTGGCAAGCCTTTGCCGGTGGTGCCTTGCTGGGATCGTGCGATATTGAGAGTGGTTGATTTCATTCTGGGGAGCTGTATGTATGGCACGGGGCCCTCTTGGGTCGCTGCTCTGGCTTGCACTTTAGCGAGGCCCAATAGTTCGTTATCCTCACTCGTGGAGACCCAGCGGATTGTGATCCTGTTTGCATTTTTCGCAGTCTTCTGATCAGCTTGTATATCAGGCAAACGTGCTCCTGGCCCGACTGTTGTCGCGGGTTCACCAGTGTGAGTGCAGCCGCTTTGTTGCTCGTCAGCAGCGTGATTCTGTACAGTTTCAGTACTGGTAGCGTCTTCAATGCGTGTGCCATTGCTGCCAGCTCTCCCGAGTATGGGTTCTGCTCCGATCTTGCGCCAAGTGTGACGGAAAAGGTCTTTAGTCTTGGCTTCTTGTACTTGGGCGGCTGCTTTTGAATCACTCCGCCAAATCCCACCACCTCATTCCGTGCTGAGCTGCTGACTGCGATCTGCATGGATCCGCCAGCTTCTGCCTGTGACTCTGGGGCTTGTCCAATATCGGTCTGCAGTCGTTCCTCCCATGGTGCTAATGTAAATGGATTAATAGTTTCTAGTGTTTCCATCTCGATATTTTTCAGCACGTCTGCCACCTGGTATAACGGCGAGCGGTGGAATCTTCGGAATTTCCTGATACGATCCGTATTCCTGCGGAGTGGGTTGGTTTCCGGTAGGGTGTGGATGTCCGTCCACATCTTCACTGCCCGTCTCCAGAACCGGCTTTGCGCCGAGGCGATGTGAACCTCTGCTTCCGCCACACTGGTCGCGACGGTGAGGAACGTTCCCACAATTGCTTGAGCTCCAACTCGTTGGACCCGGTTGATGGGCCCGATGGCCTTATCTTTGAAAGCGTGCCTCCAGACATTAGAGGCGTTAGTCCACCACCGGGGCAACAGTTGATGTGAACAACTGCCGCGCGGTAGATGGGGATAGACCTCTCAGTCGTTTGAGCTCCATTGCTGCTTCTAGGCCCTTGGACGCTGCTCTGGCTATGTGTGCCTTGTATTTGAGTCTAGTGTCCATCACTACTCCAGAGTTGAGCCGGACAGTGCTGTTGCCGAGCAGAACCATCCAATATTCGGCGGTGGCTAATCCACTGGCTTGAATCATAGCGGAACACGTATCGTGCGGCAGTCGGATATAACCCGCAGGATTCTGAGCGATAAGCCTCGCTCAGGTCGATATCTGTCGCTAAACAGTGCATCTGGGGAGAAGCTCGCTTTCGAAGCTCATTGGTATGGACACATGACAATCTGCTTCTGCACATAATTGATGCTACCTTCGTTGGAGGTCGAAACATCTTCTAAAGAGTAGCCCATAAATGCCCTCCTTTCCCCGTCACCACAGACTGGGAAGCCAAAGGTACCCTTCACGCCCAGACTGGGCAAGACCTCATCTCAACATGGACAGATTTCGGTTCGCGATAATGCTGGCCAGCATCACTGCTGTTCTCCTTGTTCTCTCCGAGGACTCTGTGGCCCAGTCAACTCCACCCTGTTCAGGACCCCCGCCCAGAGTTGAGCCGGACGGTGCTCTAACCGTACTGGCATCGTATCAGGCCTATGAGTCAATTCCATTCGTCAAAAGCAGTACGAGCGCGCATACAGCAGTCCCTTCAAAGACGACCAACTTCCATTCAGCGGGTTCGTCATCGGTCCAAAGCGGACTGCGGAACGGAACCCATCTGCACAATGCCACCGTCACGCCGTCCGTTGGAGCCAAGTCAAGTGCAGTGATTTCACCCACCAGTGTCGATGTCAAAGACAGGAGCACTTCGGTCCCAGCAATGACGACACCAACCGACTCGCCCACGTCCCCGTCATCCGAAGCATCGCCGGTCAAGTCGACTTTATTCACAGGGGCAGGAGCGCAAAACCTAGGTGTTTGCAATAATAGGGGCTGTCATTCTGCTATCCATTCTTTGGTTCCTTTGGCACTGTGGTTCGGGTGGGTCCTAGTGATTTAGTGTGGCATCTACGATTGTGTGGATACAGTATATCACTTGGTAGGGTGGCTTGTAGGTAGAATGATCATTAGAGCTAGCACAAGACGAAGACTGTGAAGGACACCACTGTGCAATTAACCCCTTGAATCTGCTGCTCTCATGACAGGATAGCTAACGGCGGTTTGGCCCTCACTGGAACGGCATATGGGACGGGCTTTTCAAAGGCCATGCTTTCCCACCAAGAATGTAGTGATCTTAGCCCATGATCTATTCCGCCTCTCCTATGTTGGTCGACTTCTCAGCGCTTGCAAACTGCCTCATAGTTCCCCGGGTGGTCAAGGCTCCTTTCCCGCCAGCCTCAGATAACCAGTGATTCACCAGGGCAACGAAGACTCTCGCAAAGTTCGCACAGTCATGGAGATCAATAATTGACCGTTTAAACCCTCTGGTAGGAATCGCATCACCAGAGCAGGGGTCGAGGGTATTCAGAGGAAATATCTTGGTGCCCGAGCCCATACCGTTACGACACCGCTCCCTGCTCCACCTGCCAAGGTATATGAACTTGCTGACCCTTCGCTCTTCATTAATCCTAGGCTACGCCCTGTTTTCTGAACTAAAAAGCATGTTTGTCCATACATATTGCATTGCATGCCATCAGAAACATCAAAAACAGGAATACTTGGCCAAGGATCATATCTTGTCAGCCCGGATTTTTACTTGTGGTAACTGTACTCGCCGAAGACGCTTCCAACATCTACTTTGCCGCCGCAATGGGATTATTGGACTTGCCATAACCATGGCACTGATGAATCCATCCTATAATTTCATGCAATATGAATGGTATGGATGGCCTCGGCTTAACCAAGACATACACGAGGCGCTATGTTATCCAATGGCGTCAATATTCAAGCAAACCGCCCTTGCCCATATTTTTCGAATGTTCAAGTCTAGATGGCTCGCATGAAGGTAGATCCCCTTCCATTTATGGCCACGGGCCGATTCTGGGAAGCCAAATACATAACGGAATGCATAGCAACCCGCTGTTCCACATTCGAGAACCTCTGTGCTCTGTTAGCGAGCTTGGTGCAGTAACCAGTTTCCACGTGTCGAACTCCCGACATCCCGCCAATTCGTCTATGTACCTCGCGCCGGCGGGTAAACATAGGACTTGTGTTCCCGGTCGCGGAGGTATGATTATGGCATGTTGTACCGCTCATCGCCGGAAGCCTTGTTCTTTCCCATTATCTCGCCGAGATGTCAAAGAGAAGCGTGACACCTTTCTCCTTCTTTGGGCAATAAGGCGCTTGGGCTCTCTTCCTATAGATTCCTCTTACCCCATCAGTATGCTTTTGTCCACATGTTTCGTTATCGTGAGGGTGGCCTGGGAATGTGAAATTTTTAGTTCCTGTATCCGTTCCCGTTCCGTCTCTGCAGTCCTCAGCATAAGGACAAATAGTTATCCATCCGCAAACATATTGTCCTAGGCTGAGGATCGTCATGATGTGTTTGTTCTGTAGATTTTTCTAATCGGGGTAGCCACTAGGGCATTCCATTCAAGACTATATTCCGCCGCTCTCTTGAAGGTAGTGGTATTCTTCCATCTATTCTGCCGAGATATTTTCCTTGTGGTCTTGGAGATATGTGGTGTACCATCAAGAAGAATACCTCTAGCTGCGCCGAAGCTTTCTAATACGTCGAGGCTTCGAGTTCCCTTCTACTTCGTCTAAATGTCGCACGCCAATGACAGACGCAAGGACCTTGCTTAGCAGACAGCTGCGAGGCTCTTTAAGGAAATAGTCCTAGACATTGAAGCGAAATGCAGGCTTGATATTAGGTTCTTCATTCAACTTGGTAGGAATGCATTCCCAGAAGCGGCAGTGGCCACTGGTGCTAGGATTGTCTCATCATCATCTTTCAAAAGCAACTCGCTTGACTAAGACTTGTGCTATCATCTCCCATTCACTATCCCCTTCATCGGACTTATCATCACAGAAGGTTTCCTCAGATGAGAGGCTGACCAGCCTTTTCTGAGAAGCCAGGCTTCCTGGAACAGTATGAACAGCACAAAGTGTAGATAAAGTAGATGAGACGGTGAGCCGGAAGTCTGGGCTCCACGCAAGCCTAAAGAGTACAAGAACGGTTCTCGAATTCGTGATGAAGCCTGTTATTGTAAGCCCACTGAAGTCTGAAAGCCTGGAACATTAGCGCCTTAAGCCCGCAAGCCTTGGCTGGATCAAAAATGTTCCCATTGGGCATAATCTGCGAGTATTATTCGCCGAAGTTTACTGTACCAGTTCTAGAACACTCGCGCCTTTCGCGAACTCCTCACAGGGTCTCGTCGTTAATCGCGTCGTTTTGAGGTCAGTAGCAGGTTACTTTTCGATGATCCAGGTTTCAATAAGCAGGCTTAATTGGTCGAGAGTCTGCATGACTGTGGATGCAGCTGATCGCTGCGAGCGCTGAAGGACTAGCGCCTTCAGCGTGACAATGGCTACGTTTGATTGGTTTACAGTGGAGCCCCGACTTCAGCGTCTCTTGATGCCAAGGAGGTGATGTTCCTAGGGGTCGTCGCTCTGGGACTGCTAAGGTGGACATATCAGTAGAAAAATAGACAACTGGAACGAGAAGGCTGGCGAGATAAGCCCGCTAAGCAAAAGCGAAAGAGCGCAACGCAGACCTGCGCGATGCCTTTTCATTTTATATCGGACTTTTCTCCTTACCACTTTGTCTATGTGGATGAATCCGGATGCGATAAAAGGATAGGCTTGGAAAAAGGGGTTGGTCTCTCCGTGGCACCACGCCTTCCCAAGTTACCAAATTCCATCGATAACAGATTCTACCTGCATATGCTCAGGACTTATCCTATCACGTATCTATAAAGGCTCAGCAGACGTCCCATTCCTTGAAGATTTTGTTGAAGAGCTATTGCACTATTGCAAACTTTCCAGACGAGAAATCTGTTATTGTCATGGACAATGCTTCCTTTCACCATTTGGAGAAAATTGAACAAACGTGTCCAGAGGCAGGTCAAGCTCCTGTATCTGCCTCCATACTCACCGGATCTAAACTCGATTGGGGAGTTCTTTGCTGAATTAAAGGCTTTTATCCAGCGACATTGGGAGGAATCACGACCAAGGATTTAGCACGTTTCTTGAGTGGTGTTTTGATAGTGTTGGTAGAAGCAAAGCGCGGATGGACACTTTCGTCGCAATCTTCTTCGCGGACCGCTCGCTCATAGCTCAGCGACCATGGAACACCCTCCTGAGCCCAATGACAACAGCTTTGGCAAGAAGCTCTTGTAGGCACCTCCTTCCACAATGATAGGGCTGTCCGTTCTCATCCGCTCAGTTGAGTTCCCATCGGTCAAAGCCACAGGAGTTCCCCACTGACGATTCTGCGCCAGGCGCAGGAATCATCACATCGATTATGAGCTTCTTTCCACCGGTTCTGGAAGTAAGTGTCCATGCACGAGGACAGGTCGGGCACACGATGGACAAGAGCTCATAGACTTTTAGTTTCTTCGACTACAGTTCATCCTGTCCGACATACCGCTGTGTGCAGCGGGGATGAAGATATTTTATGCATTGCTGTGCGTTCTTCATACCGCCAAAGCCCCGATGATCCTCGTCAGTTACCTAGCCTATGATCCCGCTCATTATGCCCTGCCGATTCTCTCCGCCGTGGATTATGGGGGCGTCGCGGCGGGTTACCTGTGCCTGGCCCAACAGACTGTCCACGACTCTCAATCCGAACGACGCCTCGTTCGTGCGGTTTACGGCATGTTTGGGTTCTCCGGTCTCTTGGCAACTGTTGCAGCGATAGGGGTGTTATGTCGTGCCGGGACTTTGTCTCACGAGGTAGCATGTCCCCCCCAAGCCGCTGTTTCTTCTTAACACACTCCTGACAGGTACAAATGCTTCTGACAATTGCCTTGTCTACCCGCCATGGGTGGCGAGCCCCTCGCTACTCGGGGGTGGTTGCCGCAAGGGAATTCCTGGAATTCCTGTCTCTGTCCATTGGGAGAGCAAACCGTACGCAGCATTCCGACGATTACCATACGATTGTCTCCGACCTACAGTAGGGCAAAGGTGGCTGGGCTGGTTGACATGGATTGACGAGCGACGCATTTGCATATGCAGGCGCCCAGTAAATAAGCCATGTGTTGGATTATGAAATAAGGAGGGGAGATATTAGAATTTTCTGAAGGATCGTGTTACAATCAGGCCTAGACACCAGCGGATGGATTGATAGACACGTGCGACATAGGAATCAACAACAAAGTACGCGCACTGAGCCTATGCTGCATGCTGTAGATTTAGCACTATCTGGAACGCCGAACATCCACTCCATGCTGTCCACGGATACGGTTCTACTCTGATCCATCTTGCTTCTGCTTGCCAGCATCTGCGGAGTCGTTCAGGGGTTCCTTCCAATCCTCTAGGACCCCGATGATGCCTTCTTCGATCTTCTGGTGTGCTTCCTTGTAGTAGGACAGGAGGACGTCATATTCTAAGTAATGGCTCTCTGCCTGCCGTTTTTCTTCCGAGAGGCTGGCATTGGCGTTCTTGAGCCGCTGATTTTCTTTGTCGAGGCGCTGACTGTCGGCATTCTTGGCGACGTAGGACTCCCACAAGCGCCGGTAGAGGGCTACGAGGCGCGCCGCCTGGGCAGCCAGAATGGGGTCCTTTTCGTCCAGGCGCTCCAACTCACGGGCCAAGGGTCTGAAGGACTCCGCGGCCGATGCCACCTTCTCATTGTTGGTGGGAGGTTCCGGCTGTGGAAGTACGATGAGTATGGCGTTTTTTTGGTTCGTGCACAGCTTGCATCTTCACATACCTGTGTGGAATCTTGATTAGGTGGTTCCATGGGCTTTGCGCCTCTGCTTTCGTCAGCAGGACCAGATCGACTGCAGGACGATTCACGCTTGCGTTTGGGGGGACGTTCCAGGTAGGAGGCCGTTGCTTCCATAGCGCAGATGCTTATGTTTGACAGAGGTGGGCCGAATGAATAGACGGAGGGTGTTCGAACATGACACGCGTTCGACAATCCTTATATAGGAAATACAGTGCATCTCTGCGGCAGAGACAAGAGACTCTCATATTCTTTGCACAAACTACCCCGCAACGATGTGAGGACGTGGATGTTCACCGGTCAACTGAGGCGTTTGGATTTTCTAAAGATACATGGGTCAGGTATTGAGGGCCATGAAAGGCCAGCAAAGGGCAAAATCCGCAGTATCGTCGGTCGGTGCATCTTCCCGGGTATCTACGTGGGATTCCATGACCCTTTCCCCTGGTTAGAGATCGGGTCGATGAAACGGAAGAAATGCGTCTACCACGCACATTCTCGACTACCTTCCCATGTTGATTCTGTCTGACAGCCTCGCCTTCACTGTAGTGGCTCGCCGCTACGCGACGCCGGCGATCCTTTGCTGAGGGCATCAAGCATCAATCCAGCCTGAATTATATAACTATGCGAAGGTGAATGGTACGTTTTAACTCTGGCTTTTATCGACGCAATCCCATTCTCGCTGTGCCGCTACCGTATCGCTACTACACTCTCGAGAAGTCTATCTGTCGGTATGAAGCGGCCGAGGTGCTTCTGTCGTTCGCGATGGCTATCTCTACGGCTTCAAGCTGCTCTACAAGAAAGCGGCTTATCTCGATCGACAATGCCCGATGGCAACCACCAGTCTGTGCTTCCGGACTCAGCGCCGCATTCACCATACCGAAGAGATAAGAACACGGAGAATGAACGCCAACGGCGGTCACACGCCCCCTCACCCAACGAGTGCGGCAAGACAAATCCGGCGGGCTGCTCTACGGGATTAGGACAGCCTGGCCTTCTCGAATGCAAGAGCGGTCCTGATGACGAGCGTTGCATTCAGTCGCAAACTACGCTTGTGCGGCCGTGAACGTTTGTATGGTGGCGGGGCGTGGGCATGAGAGGGAAGAAAACGAGGGTTTCGGGAGAGCGACGCTGTTGTGTGTTGTGGTTTACTATGTGGCGTCCCCTCTTCGACTACGGAAAGGTTCGGACAGTCATTATCCTGCTACCTGTTCAGTACTACGACTCTGCAGTACCCTACGTGACTAGTTTACTCTCGCGGAGGAATCGGAACGGCCATGAATCGTCAAGTCTTCTACCTCGACTGTGTATACTAGGGCTAAACAAGGCTGCGCTATGAGCCCAGTCATGGTGTTGGTGGCGCTATTTCACGAATAGTTTCTCTAGTCGCTCCAGATAATTGCCCGGGTTATGCTCGAAAATCACGCTTTCATGGCCAGTTATGTACTGTAATAGAGAACCTCTATATCGTAACAGGTAAACAGTAACAACGTGCTCCATACTCCATACCCGAAGGAGTCAAACGTCTGTTCGGTTTGCCGTCTCAGTAGAGTCTCAAACTGGACAGGTGGCGCCTAAAAATCAATCACCGTACATTGACATCTGCAAATACCCAAGGACATTGTCCAAACTTGAACCGGGCTCATGGAAATGGAACAAAGTTGCTTGGCCATGATCCCCGGATAAAAGAGCTCCAGAAAGGTTGGGCTGGATCGCAGGCGGTCTTTGGTCGATGGCAGTGGCCTTCCGGTGATCATTTGTCCAACGCGTTAGCATCCATGGCTCAATACGATGGAGATGGTACAACGCCGAAACCTGTAGATCTGGGGTCTCTTGACGGCGCAATGCCGAGGCTTCGCGGTGAAGGGCTGATCGAGGAGGCGAAGCGGTTATACACGAAGCCTTTGAACCAGATGTGATACAGTAACAACATCGTTGAGATCTAGGTGCGCATTGACTGGCGCATGATTCCACCTTCGGATATCTCCCATTGCGCGGACTGCTTGTATCGGGACTTCTGCTGGCAAGAGAATGTATGATAGCGTTGGATTGCTGTCCTGCTTCCTCTTCCCACCGACGAGCGATTCTGCGAGCCTCTCGCAGCCGGTTTTCATGATTGTCGCATATCATCAATCTGGCTGCGTTCCTAAAGTTTATTGCCCGGGTTTCGGGCTTTGACTCCGGTTTTGACAAGGCCAGCTCCAGATGGGCGGAGACCCGCTTGGGGAAGTCAATCGACTCCGGACATACACCTCCGTGGGGCGAGGAAGCGATACACCTTTCACGGTGCAACGGGTTGACCAAGTCGAGAGGGCTGCACAAGAAAGACATGATGGGAAGTTCGAGTAGTCAGTCGCAGCGACGACGTTTGACCGAAGGATGCAGCAGCAGGAGGGGAAAGAAAGGTCTTATTTATATCCAATTCACTATCTCAGTACGAAGGTTATTCAGGGCAGGCGTTCAGGGAGCCGGCGACACGCACGAACCGCTCTGCCTTTCGTAGGAGCGCACAGCCCCTTGGGACCGTCTTAGTAGACCCTAAGAGCAATCGCTATATTCCTAGGAACCTGCTCACTCCTGCGAACCACGTATCATGGTCCGTAGAGCCAGCGAGCCATCTCGCTTATTCATGATGGTAGCCTGCCTACATTATATATTTCTTTATCCTCGCATACCAAGATTTCAATACCCTCAACCTGCGCTGCGTGCAAAACACGACAACACAGACTACTACTCACTTGTACGGTATGCGGGAAGAATTACCTATCTTATAACCAGTACATCGCCATGCTAACCTGTGCCACAGCTCGGCTTCAGTCCTTGATTGACATCTGTGTACCCCACCAGAGTGCTTTCGCAATGGATAGCAGCGGGTGGGATCCGATCCGGGTATGCGGGATGAGCGACCCAGATTGCACGACTACTTGTTGTGGGAAGACTCGGGCCAACGCGAACTGCAAACACCGCATCTCAAAGCAGTCGCGCACCGATGCTGCCCACCTCCTGCAGCTTCTGGCGCTGCGGCGACCAGCAGATGACAGCCTCGTCGAGACACTGCGCAAGATTGCCAGGCTGCTGCTATGCAAACGGAACCACCAGCACAAGGAGGACGAACAAGTGCAGCCGCTCGCAATGCGCTGGTATGAGAGCGCTCGGGCTTCACGTGCCGTCGGTGAGCATGGGCGGGATTCACCCACGGAGAGCCGGCAGATTGACTCCCCGCTGTATCCAGAACTGGACCTGGTGGATGTGAATTCGACATCATTGACCCCGATGGATGTCGAGCCTGCCGCGGCGGAGCGTCAGTCCATCCGTATTGAGCAGCTGCGGCAAAGGTCGGTTCCATTCGAGGTGTCGCCGTCTTCCCCCGCTCGGATCCAGTTCGGGACCGCCAATGCAGACAGCACCAGCACGCCGGTGATCCTCCGCTCACTCAGGCATGATGATGACGGCGGCAGCAGCATAGAGTGCCTGATCTGTCATGACGATGCAGCAGACGACATTGCCAATCTGCAGTGTGAGCGGTGCAGACGGAGCGTGCACTTGGGCTGTATGGGGGATTGGCTCGAACGACGGTCGACACGGATCAATTTTAACTGTCCACAATGGTAAGACGCCCAGGCTGTTACGATCGGCCTCTACTGACGCATTTACAGCCGCGGTGTCACACGTTTCGATGCTTCCTACTCCGCCGCCGAGACGACGGGCGAGGCAGAGGATGGGGTCGAAAGCGCTGGCGGTGGCCGCACCGCTCGAGGGGAGATCACCTCGGAAGGGGATACGGTTCTCCGCCGGTCCCGTAGGCGGACGGGACGACCTGACTACTATGTACCTTAATGTTTGCATTATCTGGGGTATACAAAAGTCCGGACCCATGTAGATTACTAGGCCACATGCATAGTATCAAGTCTGCCCGGCGGTCCATTCTATTCGCTCTCCCGTCTCGATAACATGGTCTAATTGTTGGACGCAGACTGTTCATGAGAGCACCGCACCTCAGATATCAATTTATGATATTGAGCGCTGGGTAGAGCCTCTATGCTTGGGCGAAATCATCCTTTATCCCTACTTGATTACGGTCCAGCTGTCAATATGATGGAATCTGAAATAGCCAGGACCGGTTTCTTTCTGATTCCCATTCAGATGTATCTGTAGCATACTGTCAGGTCCCTCACCGTGATTTTATCCAGGAGAGTCTGCCAGCGCTGAGAAATATTGTTTCCTCAATATTCTCAGAGTGTCCGGTGGTCCCTGAGGACAAACCCAACGTTGTTGGCCTGACGGGCTACATTAGTAGAGCTCGGGGCAATCGCTAGGTAATGTGGTCTTTCGTCTAGATGTTGCAAGGAACAGGAGGGCATCATAGAGGGATTAGATAAGTGCACGGATCGTTTGTCAAGACTCAAGAGCCAGTCTCCGCGCACAGTACATTCGGGAGCACTGGCGGTCTCCACATATCCCGTTGTTCAGTGACCAATTAATCAAGTGGGAAAGCTCTTTGTTTATTTTTTTTTTTTTGTTCCTCCTTCTCTCTCTGTCTCTCTTCTGTTCAACACGCCAGGCTATAGCGAGAAATGGCGCCACCTGCTCAATTTCCCGGAGACTGGATACATCCTAACCAGCCGCCAACCACCCACCACCCACCACCCTTACCTCGGAGGATTCGTGTCCATCTCTGCCGACCGTGATCGGACCTATAGCGCATTCACCACATCCTGGGCATACAGCAAATTATTCACGATGACCATCAGATGCATCACGTACAGACTGGGCCTCCAACTACCCACCAACCTGCAGCGTTCCGGAAGGCCAGCCAGATGCAACAGAGCGCCGAGCAGGTTTAAAGCCGCGAGTCGCACGAGCCCGAAGGCCAACGGCGATGAGCCAGCAGCGCGGTGCAGTAAATTATATGTTGCCGGCATCAAGGCCAGCAATCCGAGCCAAAGACAGAGACGTCGAAAAGCCCTGGCACTATCGGGACCATCCATGGTGATGATCTCTGCCATCCCTTGGGCCATCGCAATGGTCAGGAACAATAGGCATACCGAGCGGGCATAGATAGGGATGGCGCTTTGTAGTACTACGACCGGGATGGCCGAGGTATGTATCAGAAGGAGTGTGCCGACAAACTCGATCTTCTGCCGCGATCTGGTGTCGTTCCCGTAGATGATGCATATCAATCGATATACTAGTCTGCATAAAGACCACAAGATCGCCCCTCCACAGTAGAAAATAACCCCTTGGTTACGACTGATAGCATCAGCCTGTGCCGGATATCGAAAGATGAGGAAGGAGGTGAGGAAGAGCGCAAAGTAGGAGAGGCCGAAGAGATGGAGACAAACGAGGATCACGCCATCTCGACGGAAGGATAGACTGGACTCCATGTTGGTACTGTAACTCGGAATGCGAAGCCAAGGAATGCTGGATGTCCCCAGAGACCAGACGGAGACAAAGTATTGCTTTTAAATTGAAGCCAGAGACAGACCGGCACCGAATTATCGTGCATCAATAATCTCACCAACGCGCCGGAGTTGCACGGCAGAAAAGCCCGGGCAGGGGCGCTTATTGATGGGCCAGAAGGAGGACATGCTCGTGGTGCCCAGTCCCTCGCTAAAGGCATGACCGAGCATGTCATTTAGATAGGATGTGCAATTCGGCTTCGAGGCAGGAACGCTCACCTCATTTAAGTGACGGTACAAGGCGAGCCATGGAAACGAACCCTGTCGTGTCTACCGTATAAATTCCAGACACAACGGATGTATTCACCCACTGCGGTCGTCTTCACCGGTCAACATGGCAGCCTGGCTGGACCTAGTCCACGACTCGGCCGGCTGGGCCTTGGTCGACACCGGTCGGATGGATCAGATCGTGCAAGACATGAGCCATCCGGCTACGCAGTACCCTTCTCTCGTTTATTTTCTAGGGAATACCAATCGCGTGCCGGCACTCCGCTCACTGTTTCCCCAGAACAACATCACCCGTCGAGGGCCAGCTGGTCTGGTTCGGCTCCATCTCAGTACCACCACCGCCAGCACCGAGCATCCGATATGGTTCGCGGAGAGCGGGTTTCAGGACTCGACCGCAGGCCATTTCAACATCCGGCTGGCATCAGCAGACCATCATAGACACTATCCCCTGCCCCCAATGACCGGTGGCTCGGCTATGGACCTGAAGCATCACGTATGGCGACGGGTCCTGTTCCCTTGGATGAGTGTGCTATGTCTGTTTGTGGATGGCTCGGCCGAGCTCCAAGCGGCCCACGAACTGTTGGATCGATCGCCCACCGAGATACACGCTGGGCGTCATTCCACATCATCCACCGGCATGCGCGTCATCATGGTCCTGATCGATCCCATCGCCGAATATCACACGGATCCGTGGGAGGTTCTGTCGTCTTGCTTCCCCGATCCTGACACCTCTGATCCGTCAATTTCTATCCTGGATCTTCGAGATCGCCACGACCTATCTCCTCGCGCCGCCTTTGAGCCGCTGCGGCGTACCCTGCTGGACCAGATCCAGATCAGCCGGGACCAGCGGATGCAGCAGGGTTTACTCTTCTCTGCCCAGCATTTGAATCATCTCTGGAATCGGACCCTTTGTGGGGGCCAGCTAGTGGCTCCCGAGGCCCGCATCGATTGCCTTCAGATCGCCCGGGAGAATCTGCCTGTCGATCCATCGCTGGGTCACCGTCTTGCAGAATTTCTCGCTTACGCGTCACGGGCTGGCTGCCCACCACATGACATCCACACCGTCATAGCATCCGCGCTGCTGATAGATGCTTACCCTCCTGGCATGCACAGTAAGCTGTCCCCTCCTCCCACCATTCCTTTTCCTTCCCTACGAACCTTCGCCCCTTTGCACCCCTTCAACCCCGCCCCGGGACCCTCGCAGTCGTAGCAAGAGAGCGTGGTACGTGCTGATGCAGACAGGGTTCCGGACGGACGACGTCTACGACAGACTCTATCGAGAGCACTGCCGGGCAGCGTGGGAAATCCACCAAGACCCTCACCCGGATCGGCATTGTGATGCGGTGCACAAGTATTTGGCGCAGTTTGTGGAGCAACTGGGGCCGCGACACTCGTCGGTGGCCATCCGGAGGGAAACACTCACCGCGGTTGGGACCCAGTGGCCGGGGATCTGTCTGCCGACCATCTGCTGTTTTTGCCTCTCCAGATCGGTCGAGCACACGTTGCTGTGTCGGCATGCGATGTGTGACACCTGCCTGACAATCCTCGGCAGTCCCAGCCGCAGCGCCGAGTACCATGTGGATCTCAGCCGATGTCCCTGGTGCCAAGAGGCCTGCGATCTCACCGTGCGTCAGCTTCCCCCGACGAAAGGTGCCGTAGTCGTGGCCCTCGATGGGGGCGGAATCCGCGGCCTGGTGACTCTGGGCTTGTTGCGGGCACTGGAAAGGCGATTGGACGGCGCGATGTCTATTGCTGAGGTCGCCGACTACATCATCGGTACCAGCGTAGGTAGGTGCGATTAACAATGTTTTGATGTCGTTCCCCTTCTGGTGTCCCTGCAGCCCCTTCGGGACCGAAAACGCCTTCTGACGAGCTGCAGGCGCCTTCATCACCGCTGATCTCGTGTATAACGGGACATCCGTCGAAGAGGGATATCACAAGTTCCCAGCATTTGCGCGAAAAGCCTTCCAGCCCTGCGGACCGGCCTCGAGACTCTGGCCGTGGCTGGCGGCCATCGTAGGCATCTTGAAAGACGGGTATTATGACACCACCAGTCTTGACCGCATCCTCAACGAGCTGTTGCCTTCAAGACTGCGACTCTTCGACCTCCCGGCCTTCATCCCGGCGGGGACTCGAGTCGGTGTGGTTGCGAGCCGAACGTCCGACGGCAAGCCCATCCTCTTTCCGAATTACCGCGGCGTAGGATCCAGATCGGAGAAGCTACCGTACGAGGTGGTGCAGGCGGACAGCGAGACACAAAATCCCCGGTTACAGGACGTGTAGGTTTTCCTCGTCCCCCGACTTTTCCCACCAGCAGTCTGGATCGACTGACCGACTTTAGCGTTGGCGCTAGTGTTGCAGCCCCGTGGTATGTATGCCTGATGATGCAGGGACCGATGATCTGACGGAGATAGCTTCTTCCGGCCCAGGGACCTCCCAGATTGGGGCACCTTGCAGGATGGTGGCGTCCGAGCCAACAACCCGATGGGCATCGCTCAGGAGGAGTGCCGGGTGATCTGGCCCTCGCGGCGCACCCATGATCTGCTCATCAGCGTCGGAACCGGGTACACACCCGGGACGGGGGGTACGGGCGATCCACCTGGTCGACAGTTTCCCGCTGGCTGGGGGCCCGTGCGGCTCTGGCGCGCGTATAATTCGTCGCCGTGCATGGATGGCATGGAGGCCTACGGGGAGGGGCGGGTGCACGTTCCATCCTCCCTGCGATCGAACACCATCCGCCTCGACCTTGCTTTGGACGGGGATCTCCCGCGGCTGGATGACGTGGGCAAGCTGGAGGAGATGGCGGCTCTTCCGTTCACCGTACCCGATGAGCTCGTGCGAGCGGTGTTGGCCACATGCTTTTTCTTCGAGCTGGATGCTCCCCCATCGCGAGCTGACGGCCAGTATCGCCTGCATGGGTCGATTCTGTGTGCGCGGACGCGGTCCCGACGGGTCGTGGACCGGGTGCTGGTTGAATTTCCCGGGGCTCGCTTCTGCAGTGGCCGGGGTCACTCTCTGGGTCGAGTGGATGACGACGATGGGTGTTTTCTCTGCGGCTATTACCGCAAACAGGTGACGCTATCCGTGCCAAGCCTGGACGAAGAGATCACGATTGCGCTCGCCAGCCTGGCACAGCAGCGTCCCATTGGCGGTTTTCCGAAGACCATACGACAGTTACTGCACGATCAACAGGCGGAGGCCGTGTTTGGGCGACCGGACCACCAGGATGACCGCTGGCCGCCGCGGCGGTCCTGCTACTGCGTGAAGATGACCAAACGGCGGGTGCATTTTGTGGAACCGGCGCCGCAGCGCAAGAAGCGACGGCTATGACGTTACTCGGTACAGCTATCAAACAGCCCGGATGCACTACGGATGTTTTGTCTGTCTTCAGGCTTTGGATTTCTTTTTCTTGTCGAGAAGGCTGGATGTGCATCTAGTTGCGGTTCCGTCCACCGGAAACGGTGAAGCAGGGACCGGAAAGAGCAATAATGAAGACTGCATAAGAAGATCACTCATGAGACTGAACCGTAGGCACCCCTCGCTCAATAAGACCAGCAATTCTATCTGTGTCTTCCCAGGAACACCATAGGACCAGGTATTGGGTCGCAGCCCGTCCGTTGCGATTGACCGATCTCTTCCCCAAGACTTTGATCGGCCTGAAGCGGTGGCTATGAGGCTGGCCACAGTCAGCGCGGTGCGGTTTGGGTGTATCATAGGGGACAGAGCAGAGTTTACGCTTTCTATAGATATGTCATCGGCATTGTCGCTGATACCGTTCTCGGCTGAGTTGTCACTGAATGAACGTCGTGACAATGTCTCTGTATCGGACACCACAAAGTTGCGGTCGCTGCTGGTTTCGGACGGGTTGTCGCTGCTTTCTGATGTGGACAGGAAATCTGTCGTGCTTTCCGTCTCGGGATCGCCCCCTGTGGACGGCGAGTGTCGGAGGTAACTAATGGACGACATATCAATGATATATAATACAGGACACTGTGACTGGGGCAGACAAGTCCTGGTCAATCAGGCTGAACACAGACAAATCTCTTCTGGGGAGGCCTTCATCTTGGGAGAACAACGTAGGTACATATAGAACATAGTAGGGCTCTGCCGTCTTGACCAGAGTTGAACATCTATATCTTATGGCAATGACCGACTTCTCTACGCGCATGAGAGTATCAGTCAGGAAAGTAGTGGGGAAGGAAGCCATGATGACCAGGAAGACGATCGAATGCCTCTACAACAGCCCACTAAAAACAGGTCTATCTCAGCCCCCTGTTATCGGCGCCCAGCCACGGAGAATGGCCATTTCTCATCACCTTGACCAGGCTTACTCCACAGCCGCTCTTCTGGCCCCGGGCGAATCCCCTGTTGATGCAGGATTCTCGGCCATGGTGACGTCCTCTGCTGGGGTCGGAGACTTAGTCCCACCCGTTCGATCTCCTTCCCTGCTCTCAAGCTGGTTGAGCACACGGTCTAGCATGATCTCAAAGGATTGGGATTCCCCCGTGGGGGCTGTCCCCCGCTCCTTCAACAGATAGTCAATCACCGTTCCCATCCGCTGATTGGTGTCGTAGAGAAGACCGGCCAAGTCGACCGTCTCTTCCAGGTCCGAGGTGGTTTGCTGAAACGCCTCTTGGAGGGTTCGATGCTCTTTGGTGTGCTTCTGTTGCTCCCGGTGTGAGCGCAGAGCCCGCACGCTGAGCTCGCAGATCACACGGAGGGCGTCCTAGTCACAGTGAGCGAGTCACCTGCTGAATGAGGCAAATACCTACGGCAGAATCCATTTTGCGAGTAATCACAGCACAGCCGCAGCAGAAAGGGGTGTCGGAAGCAGGATGGAAGCGAGAGTCGGGAGCGACGCATTGGTATTTATTAGCAATCCCACGTCGGAGTCGAGAAACCTGTATCGTAACCCTCGTTGTCGGCGCAATGTCTTGCAGTTCAAATTGAGATGACCGTCCAAAATCAAGGGGAAGCCCTGTCTCGGCTCTCACGTCACGTTAGAAGCCCATTACCTTGTGTTGAATTTGGGACCTAGTCCGCGCTTTAACCACGGCCGCATAAATATCACGTTTGCATTGCCCTACAGCATGGTTCTGTATTTGAGGGCAACGCCGTGGACGGTATGGTCAGTGCTACTGCGGAGCATCCTTTGGGGGAAGAGATCAAGCAGCACATAAAGCTACGATCCCCCTTCAGAGTTTCTTCGGCCCGCTCCTAGTACTGTACATACGGGATGGACGAGATTGTCGAGATTGTCCGTCGGATTGGCCGCCAGCAAGGCCGAAACGCATACTATCGTACATGCTACACTCTCCTGAAGAAAAGCCAAGATCTCATCCTCCAGACGTCGAACGAGCTCCTGGATCTCTACCACTCCAATGCATTCGAGGAACCAGAATCCGTCTCTACGATTGCGGATGACCTGCGCGACGACATACATGCCATGATCGCCCGAGAGCGCCGCGCACGGTCACACTGGGACGAGGTTTTCGAGTCGGACAAGTGACGTCTGAGGAACGAACTTCTTCCTCTGGGGAGGAATGTCTGTGCGTATTGCAATACATGGATACCTGCCAGCTCAAGACAATCTGTACCGAGTTCGCCCAATGTGACGGGTCTCAATACTAAGAAGCTTTATAGATATCATATCCTTGATCCTCGAGATGGTATTAGGGAGGCCTGCTTCGGGCGTCTCCGGTGGACTATGCGTATAGGCAAAGTGTAATCAGTTATCTACATTGCCTCGGTTCTAAAAGTACATCAGCCATCTCCATTAGGTCCGTTACAGTAAGCCAATTTAGTCCGATGGAAGTATATACCCTACTCCCTTTGCCTAGCTTGAGTTGATCTTAGATGTCCGTCACGGCCAGCTAGGCTGTAGACTATGCGTCACATGAGGTTTGTGGAGCGGTTTGGTCTCCGAGTGAGCTGGAATGACCGGGTGGGTTTCTCTGGGACAACATTGGGTGGTCAGCATCACCTCCGGCATGTGCATTATTCGTGGTCTCACTTGTGCTCTGTGGTGAAAGGTCAATTCTCTCGTGGACGCCTGGCTTTTTCACACTTTTAAGGTCCGGGAGCCTTGATGATGCTGCGTTTGCGTTGACCGGTAATGTGTTCCGGCACACCGGGCGGTTCTCTGCAGAATGGAGTTCGTGCATGCCGGCTTAAATCTGCCGATTAGTGATATAGCGAGGACAGGGACCGGGCCGAGATGGAATGACGGCCGCTTCCTGTCGTCCCCCAGTGGCCTTTGCCATCAAGCCTCGGCGCCTCCGCAGGTGCGTCATCTGAAGTGCGCGCCGCTGTCTGATATGCTGCTTGAGTTGTCGGAGCTTGGACCGAAGAGACTCCGACGACCGTGGGCAAATCGTGCTTGAATATTCGTCCGCTTTTTCGGGCCATGTCAGATGGGACCGCTGAGCAACCCAGTCTTGGAGGTTCTCCTCCTCTTTATTGCTCCAGGGACGATAGTCTCCTCTTCCCATGTTGAAACAAAACCACGGACCTGGTCGAAAAAAGGTGGCGACTCAAAAAAATAAAAAATAAAAGGGAAGAGTGAGCAGTCACGGTGATAAAAACGACAAGAGCACAGTCAAGGTGAAATGAACGGGGGAAGATCCCGCTTATTGAGCAAGACCAAAGCGAAGTGGTTGGAACCGCTTATTCTAAATGGAGACTGGTGAAGACTAAATACCGGCCCTGAGGCTTGTGCCTGCAGGTGGCAGTGGGAGGCTGCTTCCCCGGTCCGAGGGCGTTCCCGTGGGTATTGTGCGTCGCAAATCTGGGCCTTGATGACGCCCATCTCTACATGGGTCAATGGTGGTCCCGCCCCACATCGCCGCAGTCAGTCATGGGCGATGGACCACGGGCCAACACCTGCTTGGGGATCCGCCGGTGGGCCACCGTAAATGCCCGGGGATATGACAGGCCTGATCTTGCTTTGATAAACCTTCCCTTTATTATATGGTAGGGTTACATAGAAAAGTCGATGCAAGGGACGGGTGATGTGGGTGTCTCAGGGGCAATTTTGAGGCCTCTAGGGCTTTACGATCTGCCGTCACTTATGTAACCGCGGACATAGTTTCTCTCCAATTCCCCGCTAAGCCGTCGTTCTTATAGCGGTTCCTCCACCAGGTCAATGGAGCACGAAATATTCTCCTCCACTCTTCGAACTGTGGCCGCTGACGCTGAGACAGCATGGCGAAAGTACCATCTCGAAGGAGTATGAATTCCCTTCCCGCAAGCTCTGGCCCTCGAACTTCCAACAACCGGGTGCGCATCCAGGAGCCCCCCGCTGCTGCTGCCACGCAGCTCACCCGCCCCCGACGACGTCACTCGATGGTGAGTATTTCATCCGGCCATAAGGCAGCGTCCCTGAGGCTATACAACAGTGCTGACCAACCTGGTCCTTGATGGCAGACGCAACCCCCGCCCCAACCCATCTCCGATTCACAGGCCGCGGACGATTCCACCGAAACTCTGGAGAATCACAGCGTCTGCCTTAAGGCCGTGAAAGATTTTAAAGGCGACCTGCACCTGGTGGAAGCAGAGAGAGATAGGTTGCTGCTGGAGAATGAAACTTTGAGGCAGCAGCTCTCGCAGGCGCAGGATGCCCAGTCCGCCGGCCGCACATGGGAGGACGTACAGCGGGCCGTTCACGGAGCCCAAGAGGCCCTCAACACCTGCCACCAGCAACTCATCAGCTGTATGACCAATGTGGCCAATACGGGCGTACCGTCCACCACCCTGCCGGGATCGACTGCCGGACCGGATTCCATGTGGGCGAGCCAAGATGAGGAGCTTGGGGTATTGAACCCTCAGATGTTTTTTGATGTTTAAAGTTTGAACAATGCAAATCCACAGCATAGGTCGGAAATTGTCACAGGTGCACGGTCGTGTATCTAATATGGTTCTGGTTATCTCGTAGTTTGCATCAAGCCGGAAATGACCAGATACGTTGGGTGGTCCATCTGTGCGAGTGGGCGAGCGCCCGCCCCTACGGACCGATGCCGTCCCAGCTGGGTTTCCAGGCTTTCAAGGTCCGTTATCTGTTACATCAGGGCGGCTCGTTCATTCTCCACGCATTGCCTTGTTTGCTGCAAATCACATGAGCGGGCCTAGAGACTGATTACTAAAAGAAACCTCCAGACAGAACCGCTCTGACCTAGTTCGGTCACGAACTACTAGAACTAGTCATCTCATCCGCTCCACCAAGCAGTGGCCAGCGATCAGCTGGCCTGCCGTTTGGCACGGCCTGATGTGAAGCAGGAATGTTTGTAAAAAGTCCTACCGGAGAGTCATGAAGCGCCGGCTGCTTGATAAGT